GATGCTGACAAGCAGCAGCCGAAGCGAACCCAGACTGGTCTTCGTGAGTATCACGAGCGGCGTCGCCCTCGTTATCTGGATGACTATGAAGTGAATGTCGCGCAGTGTTCGGCCCGAATCTTGGACAAAGATGGTAAACCTATTCTGGCGAGCAATGTGAAGCTCCCGAAGAATCGCCGCGAGTTGTACAGATCGAAGTACCGAGAGTTCTGGCTGCAGGCAGATTTGGAGGAGATGAGCGCGCTGCGTGCCAAGGGAGTGATCAGAGAGATTCCCTGCGAGGAAGTTCCGGTGGATGCAAAGCCGATTAGTACACGTTGGGTGCGGTCTCTTAGGACTGATCGCCAGGGATATGTGATTCGTTTCAAGTCGAGAATCGTAGCTCTTGGAAACTACCAGAGACCTGGAATTGATTTCTCCGAGACGTTCGCTCCTGTCGTGAGAATGTCCTCGTTCCGGATGTTCGTGGCACTTGCTGCTGTGCTACATCTCCTGCTCTACGGCGGCGATATTAACACCGCGTACCTGAATGCCTTGCTGGGGATCTACCAGTATCTCAAGTCGATTGAAGGGTTCCCCTGCAAGATTAACGGGCACATGTATGTGGTGGTGAAGGCATTGTATGGACTGAGGCAATCGGGGCGTGAATGGAACACGGAGTTGAACAACTGGTTCTTGGCGCAAGGCTACCTCCGCTCTCTCACTGAACCTTGCCTGTACTACAAGTTCGGAACAGACTCGATCATGCTCGTGCTTGTCTACGTTGATGATATTATGGTTGCGACCAACAATGAAGAAGACAAGTGCAAGCTGTTTGAGGAGCTGAATGTGGCGTACGGCATTAAGGACCAGGGGCTTCTCAAGGAATACCTGGGCATTCAGGTGGACCAGACTGATGAGGGCATCACCATTCGCCAGAGCAAGTATGCTCGAGAGGTATTGCAGACATTTGGGTACGAGAACGCCCATGCAGTGGGCAACCCGATGGAGACAAATGTTCGGCTGGCGCCTTTGGATGCGAGTGAGGAGTCTGACGCTAGCTTTGACTATCGAAAGGCTGTCGGGATGTTGATGTACTTGGCTACGGGAACGAGACCCGACCTGGCGTTTGCAGTGGGGCAACTTAGTCGGTTCGTGGCCAAGCCATCTGCCAGACACGTGGGGACACCGAAGCGTGTTCTGCGGTACCTTGCTGGTACAGTAGACTATGGCATATCGCATGAACGACCTACGGAGGTGCCAAGCACTATTGTATTGGAAGGCTTTTGTGATAGTGACTGGGCCGATGACCCTGAGTCACGTAAGAGTACTACCGGGTTCGTGTTCTCGCTAGCAGGCGGAGCTGTGTCTTGGATGTCACGTCGCCGATCGATCGTGGCCCTCTCAACGGCTGAGGCCGAGTATGTAGCCGCGTGTGAGGCTGCGATGGAGGCAGTTGCAGCCAGCAACATGTTGCAGGAGATACTACCACAGCGAAGTGTGAAGCTGAAGATCGGGATTGACAACCAAGCGGCCCATGTGCTGGCTACCAACCGTACCTACAGTCGCCGTACCCGACACATCGAGCTGCGAAGGCACTTCGTGCGTGAACAAGTGCAGAAGGGCGCAATCAACCTACGCAAGGTGAAAGGTGCCGAGAACCCGGCGGATGCGTTTACGAAGCCACTGGACAAGCAGCGACTGAAGGACCTGTTGTGGCTCGTGGGCGTGACCGGTGGCATGTGATGAAGCAACCTGCCTCAAGAAGCGCATTCTGGTGGTCGAAGTTTGTACTTCGAGGGAGGCGTGTTGGAATGCATATTGCAGGCCAGCTTCAACTGCAGCAAGTTGAAGGATGAGCCTGGGACCTGGACTGGTGGTAAGACATGCAGCAGTAGGAGTTCTCAGAGAACCAGGTCCCTGTATGAGAAAGGGGCAAAGGCCCGTAGGAGCTGGCAGCAGCTCCACCGCTAATCTATTTACCTTTCCTTTTGCCTTCTTTCGTGAAGAGCGTTCGGCCGTCGGATCGGGTAAAACGTCCAACATTATTATCACTGGGGATCATGGTCAAGCACCGGAATTTGGATACGATAAGCCTGAAGCTCGCGAGTTATCTGCGACTCGAGTCGCTGGAGCACTCATAGCCTAGGGAAAACTGGGGAAATCCGCTGGACTGCGGCTGGAAGATGCTGCCGAGCAGTACGATATATTCAATACGTTAGCTGACATCACTGGGGTTACAGAAGAGGGGTTCTTGCAGGACGGAGTCGGACGCTCGCTCAAGCGGAACGTAGCCTTTGGCGAGCGCGTCGTGTTTAGCAACAACCCGAGCCAGAAGATGTCGGTGGTGAGAGGGAACCAGCGTCTGCGCTACGATCGCTATTCGGGGGATGTTCTACTTCATGATTCTCGAAGTGATCACGATATGCGGAACGACTTGTTTCCAAGGCTTTCGACCGAGGAGCAGGACGGGTGGCTGGCGTGGCGAGACTCCGGCCGCTGGCTCAATACGTACTACAAGAGTCGCTGGGATCGGAAATGCCTGCTTGCCTCGGAATGCTGAGAGATTCTTCATCCTTTCATAAGCATCAGTGTATAACAAATGCCCACATTCGGGCTAGTATATCCGCAAAAAAGCGAGAATATCTCGATCAAGCAGTACACTTCGGCCTCTTACATGTACAAGAACTACACGTGCGTCTCTGCCATCGCACCGAGCAGCCGTCACGTCGAGCCCGAACTGTTCTGCTGGGTCATACAGGGCGCTCGGCCATCGAGCTCCTTGTGATGGGACGACGCGACGACGGCTGACGAAATGAAATGTTATCGTATCGAGCTCGCGGTACTAGGGCTACGCATAGGCTGGGATAGAAATTTTACGGGGGCAGCCAGAACTTTCACCACAGCAGTAGTATTACGACGACTACCAAGCCGTGCGAGCGCAACCTCGAAGCTTAGCTACTCGTCGCCTCTCTTGTCTAGCAAGTGAGAGGAAGAACTATCAGCGATACCTTTATGAGAAACCTGGGCATCAAATATTTTGTATCATAGTTAACGTTGCGTTTTGTTTTCATCGCATTGTTTGTATCCTGAAAATTATCTGTAGACCACGACTTCTAGCGCCAAGATGCGCGGCGTATACACCCTCCCAGCTGCAATATCGCCGTACGTAGCGGTCGTGGGGCCATTAATGTACTCGTAAGCTTTGAAATTTAAGGATTTCTAAAAACAATAGTCTGCTCAATGTCAAAGTTTGGTATAATTGAGGGCTATACTACTGAAATAGAGTAAGTGTCTCCTGCGGTCACTCATTCGGTCTTGTAGCTACTGCATTTGTACTTCGTAGTTAAAACTTGTGTTGTCCTCATACCGCTCCAAACTTACTAGACAGTATCTACTTTTCACATCACATTACCAGGCAGATGCTGCGGCTGCGAAGCAGGCGCATGAGACGCCAATGGGTAATGATAAAAAGCCTGCTATAAACTAAAAACAAAATAACTAAAGATACGGTCAAAAGACCTCTATCCTAGCCGTTGCGGGGCCCTAGTGCCGTGGTGGTGGGTGGTGCTCCGGCAATCGTTGTAGAGGCGGGTGGCTAGGTACGTAGGCCGGCTGCTTGGTTTAGTGGTAGAATGCGAAATTGCACAATAGCTGTAGTCCCATGGCGCCTATCAGCGAGACCGAGGTAGACACGGCCTGCGACGTCAACTACAACAGTCAGCCAAAACCACGTCTCGAATTCAGCGTTGTAGTGAACCTGATAGTGGTGAATTATGGCGAAAAACGCGCGACCATGTTAGTTTAGGGAACTTGTGGCTGTACTGAGCAATAGCTTGCGAGATAAAGGAAAAGCAGGGGGATAGGTACGTACGTAGGTGCCGGTTGCTTTAGAATGCGAAATGGCTGAAGTCATGCCCTGATCTCTAGAAGACAGAAAACTAGTGACTCGAGATCGGACTCAGTTACCAGCTCCAATTACCGGGTCACCAGTAGAAAGACAGCCAGTGACAAAGGACCACGATACCGGCCTCAGTTTACTGGCTTCAGTTACCGAGGCGCGAATTAACCCGATTTGGGCAGCCTAGCAGCATGAACTATCGGCCACTGCTATCCCAGTATAATCAATGGGCTCACCTGTTCCAGCACAGACCGCGGATCAATGGGCTTTTTGCTGTTGCACTGCATCCCTCGCTCTGCAAGTTGCGATGCTCGGCGAATTTGATGAGAGGATGGCGCAGAGGGTTATTTCTTGCTTCTCGTGAACGTGGTGAGAAGAACATGCTCACATCAGCGCACTGTGATCGCCACCACGACCACTCAGGTATGCGCGAAGCGAACAACATCAGAGTAGAAGTAGCAGCCTGCAACTGTCGTGCTGGATGCCAAGAATAGCATCACTGCCGCGAACCCCTTGCAGTGGAGCGAGAGCTCGGGGTTCTTGCTTGGCAAGCAATGCTGACGCACGATCGCGGGGTACGTTCTGGTGGATACACTGCTCCTGTCTCACTCGCAGCCTTGGCTCATAGTACTTATTGACTTGTGTCGAGATCCCGTAACCAGGTCGTGACACGCATAACGAACGTCGTCGGATTGGCTAATATTCTCATCACTAAAGGGCAGTACTCACTCCGCGGGGCGCCAGATCCCATTGTCGTGCATCTTCGACGGGAACGGTGGCGAGGTAAGACGAACAAGCATCTATCGAACGAATTAATGTGCTGCGTCATCACGACTAACGCCTTGTTAATGCTGTTAACCTCTATTTGGTTTCTAGTGCGCTTCCTGTGACGAAACAGAACACGCCTCGCCTCCGGATTCGACTCGTGGATTGCCTGCCGGATTCGTCGCAGTGTGGTTACTGCTCGCTCGGGCCGTTGCTTCGCCGCATGTGTAGGCGGCTTCATCGGCACATGAGCTATGCCTAGTTGGTAGAGATCGTCGGCTACACGTTGTGAAGTTGGTCGCTGCATTCTCGCCCCTGTACTTGCCTCCACACCAACGACGATATGTCGGGCCAGCACCGTCCATTCCGAAAACATCTTGCGGTTGGTCTTCGTGAAGTCAGATGGCTGCAGCGCCCGAAAAGGCGGGTATCCGGCAGCAGGGTGGCCAAGCCGCCAAATACACCACACACTTAGCGCATCTAGCTGTGGAAAAGCAAAATCCTGCGGCATCCGATGAAAGCGCCCATCTGATTGCCAGTGATAAACGATGCTGGTTGGACTTGATTGGGTTGCTTCTTACTGAATGCGCTGCTGCGCCTGCCATAGTCCAGCCTCCTCTAGCAGTACACGGATCGTCGAGCTGAGGGTTTCTCGCGTTACACTTTGCTGACTCACGCATTTCTCGTCCAGTGGCTTAGCAAATCCGTCCAGCAGTAGATCCGGGGAGGAATTACCATGATCCAGTTGAAAAGTACTGGATCGCCCCCCAGGCCGACCGAAAAACAAACTACTGTCACAGTATTTGCTAAGTTCGTGATGCGTATTTATCAAGACGTATCTACCTCCTTCTGCGAGACTGGATCCTTGCGCTGCGTCGAGTCGGTCGTCGATGGCGAGTCCGACGTCTCCCTCTTGTCGATTGGTAGACCCAGATGAAGTCGATCGATTCGCGTTCGAACCGTAGCTTCAGGCGCATCGGAACGTGGCTTCCCGGTTCCCATGTAAGCTCCCGGTACCCAACCCATTGAATGAAATAATATACTCTTACGTTGATCCACCTTTTCGCGTATATTCGCTCTACCTCATATAGCTGCCCATCCACGCCTCTCTGGGCCCTTCGATTGCTTGCGAAGAGGCCACCACCCCTACGTTGTTCTTCTCGGAGTCCACCCCGACTGATGATTCTTCCTCTTCCTGCTCGTCGGTGTCTTCGTCGCTGACGTCATGAGCGGAAATACCGGGATTCAGTCGGAGACGGTAAAACGAGCCGTCCAGGCGGCGCTAGATGTTCCGGGCGTGGCGCTGTCGTGGATTAAGGCGTGGCATTGAGCACAAAGCAGAATGGGGCTTGCCGAAGCGCTGAAAATGTAATTCGCAGTCTATTTCTATTCTAAGTGTTGCCTAAAAATAAATACAGTAGACTTCAGCCCGGAGGTCAGGTTGTGATTTGGCTAAATTTAACGTAGTTAAATTGCAAAATTCAGATTGCAGATCAACGTAGCATATTGCACCATTGCGGCTTAAAGTATACAAAAAGGGTGTACCATGGAGTGGTACATTCGTAGAGTTCCTACTCCTTCTAGCGTTTAAGAGATTTTCACGAAATATTTTACTCGCGTGTTCTTAGGGCACAACACTAGAGATCTATCGGTTTAGATTTTTAATATACCTTACCCAAATATGACTCAGCAACACTTGCATATTTGGTTAGAATTGTCGGAAAGCACAATATCTATTAATTATGAAGTGTTGTTTGTCAAAAATACAGATCGATAAGTATAAATTGGCTTTGCCCGACGAAGCTTATTCTTGTCCCTACAGCGCGTTTTTCACAATCTTTCGCTTGTGTTGTGGCCTCTTCCCCGGCTTCAACCCTCTTTTACCAATCCGTTCAGGAGTGGGTTCAAGTTGTGGAGGAAGAATTGTGTCGTCCCGCTGTAAGGTTGCTGTTGTCGGCCAAGGGAGAAATTTGAATGTGTACGTATCGCGGAAGTGCTCGATCGACATACGCTTGGCGTCATACAAGTCTTCGATTCGTCGGCCATCCTTTGAAGCAGCGCAAATTGCGTGGACACAAGGGAACATTTGGTCTTGCCAATTGCCGCACGTGCACTCTAGCGCTGGCAAATCCACTACCCGGTCTGGGTGCACATATCCTGGTATGGCAACAGGGCCCTTGAACAAGACGCTGTACGCACCCTCGAGAAGGGGTGTAAACTCGCACATATCAGCTGCAGCTTGGCCGTCTGTACGTCGCTCTAACAACTTGGGGACTAAATCCGAGAGTGTGCCAGATTTTGTCCACGTTACAATCAATTGTCGCCTTTTGGACATCAGTTGACTCAGCTTCAAGAAGTACAAGTGGAATCCGTCCAAGGGTTTGGCGGTCCGAAGCTCTTTACCCATCCAGTTGTTCGCTTGCTCTGACAAATTTGAGGTTATTTCGTCGAAAGTCGGGAGATTAAACTTTTCTTGGAAACTGTACTTCACCCAGTGAGCACGTTCGATTCCGTCCAGAAAATTCGCAGCGGCAGGGTTGTTCACGGCGAGTTCACTTCGATACAGCTTATAGTCATTTTCACAGTCGCTGCGTGCCATTCGGCATACCCACGCACGGTCTTCCTGGGACAATCTGGAACATTTCCTGTTAATGTTGTCCATGATATGCCGCAGGCAGTATCGATGGCCAGCGTTTGGGAAAATTGTCGCGACAGCTGGAAGCAGACTTTTTTGTCTATCCGACAATATCGTGAACTTTTCCCAGTCAACTGCCTCCTTGAATGCTCCCAGGAACCAAATCCAATTGGCCTTGTCCTCTTGTGAAACCAGCGCGAGTCCAACTGGAACGATGTGGTTGTTGTTGTCTTTCACGGTAGCTACCAGATAAATGCCCTGTTCGTGCATTTCCTCTTTAAGGTGGACCCCGTCAAAGCCGACCATCTTTTTGCAGTTCTGGGCAATGTGAATACCAGCGTTAGGGATGAAGCACGCTCGACCAAACGACGATCCGTCCGCGGCAGTTTCCACTCTCCAAACCGATCCGGGGTTCTTGTGCGCCATCAACCCGAAGTACGCCCGCAGTTTTTGGGAACTTTCTACCAAGTCGCCGTGAATTTTGTCGTCAATTTTCGGCTTCATTCTGGACACCGATGTAGCGCTTACGTCCGCTCCTTTCGATTTCAGAAAATTCCTGATAGCGGCGCCTGACATAGAAGCCGTAGATCCATCGTGGGCGGGAAGCATCTCGGTCTCGACAATCGCTGTCAGCTTGCTTATCTGCTGCGTGGTATTCCGCATGGGCTTGGATGGCAACGGGATGGACCCTTCAACACAAGGGGCCTTGGCACTACCAACGAGCTTGAGGTGATTGTGCGCAAAATTTGCCTGGGTTATCTTCCACTTCCCCGATTTCCCGTGAACATTCACGAAAAACGGACACGTGAGTTGGGCAGCTGGTGTAGTCCGGTCGAAATATTGCGTTCCATTGAGCGCCTTGCACGCAAATTTCGCATTACCGGAGTTGTCGGCCTTCACACTGGTCTGCTTCACAAAAATCTGGAAGCCGCACCTCACAGCCAAATCTTTGCACTTGCTGTGGACTGCTTTTTGTGAAGAAAAGACTGAATTGGCAATATTCTCTCGGAGCTGGTAGGCGAAGCCATACGTTGAGCTTGTCGGGTTCGTCGACTCGACTGCAACATCGTCCCTGAGTAGTCCCAACTCCTTGGCAGCTTCGAGATCAGACACGTCGAGTGAAAAGCGAGCAGAGCCGTAGTTTGGGGGGTTTCTTGCTCTTGACTTGGACATTTGCACAATGCAGCAGAATATAGCTGTGAATCACCCTTTAGAGAATTATTTATTATTCAAGTCTACTTGGTTTTTATTTAGCACTAGCCTTCGAAATCTTACCTCCCACATATCTATTTCAGGTGTCCCGCAAATAAACCGAGAGCTCGAAGTTAGCCCATAAATGGTTGATAGGTTTGCAAGTGGCGTGCCGGGCGTACTTAGGATTTTTTTACTGTATGAAGAAAATGGCTGTCGGCCTGGGGGACGATCCAGTACTTTTCTACTGGATCATGGTAATTCCTCAGATCCGGTTTAGCGCCTGTCGCGTCTTCACGTGCTGCTCAAAAGCTCGACGTGTGGGGGTATACCATTAGGGCGCATCCACGTACTGTAACCGGTAATCAGCCTGTTGGAGAGTCGTACCATGACATTGGAATCGCGAAAGATGTAGGAAGAAAGCAAAGCATGCTTCGGTAGCAGACCTCGGCGAAGAAAATCGGCGTGCGTCACCAGGGAAGCAAGGCACAGGTGCCACGTGTGCGTCGGCTTTCAATGCGGGAAACATTTGCTTGGTACAGTCTCGAATAAATTCGGCTTGCGGATCCTTGAAGTGAGGGGGCAACGCAGCAAATTGAGAGCTGTTTTGGGGCAGGCCAGCAACTACCCGCCCGAGATATTGATCACCAGCAGCTTCGTACCGAAAATACCGGTCTTGATCACCACCTAGCGACCACCCGCATCTCAAATACACACTAACAATTGACGGACCACCGGTGCTGCCACTGCTAGCGTACGTAGCGACCCCTTTTCGGATGGAGTGAGTCCCGTACGCCTTTTCTCCCGTAATCTCCTCGAGCATTCTCCCAATTGTCTTGCAAAATCTCGATTTCTGGTTGGAGCCCGGGAACAGTTTTCCAGGGACTAGCGTTGGGTTGGAGCCGAGATAGAGTCCGAGTGCCAGCACCCAGCAGCAGTCAGGCTGCGAAGGATTCGCGTAGATGTGCCGGGGTCTTTGGGCCCAGATCCTTCTTGGTTTGTTTTGGTCTTGTGGAGGACGCACCCGACGCTGTCTGCACACGGGGAGATGTGAGATGTGCAGCGTTTCTACTGACTCGAGTGGCACATTAAATTCCACTGTGTTAGTAGGAATAGGTGTGCAAACCCGTTGTGCGCTTGGCCAGCTCCACGTACAGAGAGAACGTCAGCGGCTCCTTGCCGACTCAACGCGAGCGCCCCGCTTGGTCTTCATCCGCCTCCACTCGCTTGAGCCCTCTGAAGAACGTTTTCATGTCGTCTAAGTACTCCGTCGGCACAGGTAGTCGCTTTTGGCGGTACAGATCTTTTAGCGCACTTCTGTAGCCACTAAGTGTCGCCACTTTGACGCTGCCCGTATTCATTTTATGCAGCAGGAACGCTTCGAAGTGCGTAGGTAGGAACACACCGAGGTTAAGGCTGCCGTCCTCGCAGAAGAATTCTTCGGCATCCTGGCAAGTGGCGCGAACCCAGGTAGATATGCCCTTTAAATAGCTTCGGTACGCCTTTTTCGTGTTGACGGCAGTGCAGGCACTTCGAACTTGGTCTCCATCGAGGCGACCACGGGACGGAGTCTGTAATACAGGTCCAGCGGTAGCAGGGAGGCACAGGTTGCTTGTCATCGTCAGCTGCTTGTTGTGGGTTGAGGGAGTCAGATTGTGAGGGCCAGTGAAGGAGGAGGCCAACGACAGACGCATTTTAAACCAATCAGAGTGGGTAAATAGGTGTAACGAGCACGCGATACGCATTCGTGTTCAAATCTCTTGACGGAGGCTACAGCCATTGCTGGCTGGAAATTGGAGAGATCAAAATTTGTTAATTGTAAACGTAAGCTGTCCAGATTACGGGGGCTTTAATTTGTCTATACTGGCGATACTATAATTGGAGGTTGTGCCTTTTGCCGTGATAATTCTGGCATACATGTAACTCTAATCCCTTATCGACCTTAATTATGCCCCGAGTTAGCTCATTCCCATGTTAATTCCGGGTCGTCCCTCCGTGGCCGAATTAGGAGCAGCGATGGTGAGGCCGAGTTAAGGCGGAATAAGCTAATCCAGCCTGCGTTAAGCGGAAACACAGCGATTGGCGGTTTCTCCCCTCTCGGAGAGGGGAGTGCTCCACACTACGATTGACTTGACAGTCACAAGCCCGAACAAACGGCTTCCTGCTCAAAGTCCAGACCAACCTGGTTCGGTTCCCGGTTTCCCAGATTGACACTGGGAATCCCAGTGTCAATGACCCCCGCCTCGAGAAATCAGGAACCTCTGCGTCCAATAATCAAGGCAAAGGTGGCCGTGCCTCATGGCCGAAAATCAACTGCGCGGATACAGTATCATCCATCCGCAGTGCCTGCTTTGGTTCCTGGTCCAGAAGGCCGAGCACCACGTGGCCCAAGTGATCGATGCACGCGATATCCTCTGACTGCCAGCAGCCTCTTGCTCCCCATGGTCGCCCAATGCAGGACGATCGCAACACAGTGCGGCCGCCGGCCTTCGTCTCGTGACCCAGGCCCCAAGTTTACGACACTCTGTCGCCCCTTTTGTACCCTTCAACAAGGCAACGCGCACGGCAGCTGCAGTGTCGTCGACAGCTCCATACAACCCGCCAGTCAATTCCGAACAGCAAACCCAGCAGTCAGTCAGTCAGTCAGTCAGTCAGTCAGTCAGCAATTTGCCTTGGCTCACGTGACGTCCAAGGCGATGGCTACATCTCCACCTCCACCTCCGCCTCAATGGCGCGGCTGGGCCTTCGTCTACGCCGTCGCGCTGCTCTTCTTCTCGCTCTTCCGCCTCTCCACGCTCACGAGCCTCATCACAATGTACGGGACCCCAAAGGACTGCGCTCTGGACGTGCAGGCCAGCGCCCTGGCGCTCGGGGCGCTGCAGGACGCAGTGTGCGCCACGTACCTCTGCACCGCGCTCTGGCTCGTGGACCGCTGGCTGCAGCAGCGCCGTCACCAGCAGCTCGACGAGGAGCCCGAGGAGGAGGACGCAGTGGTAGACGGCGTCCAGAAGCCGCTGGACCTTCGCCAGCGCCGTCAACGACGCGTGGCCGCCGTCGTCCGGTTCCTGGCGTCCCTCGTGCTGTTCGCGCTCATGGCCGTGCCCTTCGTGGCCGACCTGCTGCTCGTGCGCATCCGCGACATGCGCTTCCACTTCGACCTGGTCAAGATGGCCATCCACGAGTCCAGCAACGCCGGGGCGGCCGAGATCTCGCAGTCCGAGATCGACCAGGCGTACGTCAGCGCCACGTTGGCGGCGGTCACGGCCACGCTGTTTGCGGCGGCGAGGGCGGCCAATGATTGGGCAGATTTGACGAGGTGGAGCCCCACCGCTGCCGTGGCGATGAGTATTGAGGGGTGTTTGAATTGGAGGCTGAAGGAGGAGAAGGAAGAGAAGGAGAACAGCCTCGAGGAGGGCGTGGGCGAGAGCGCCGGCTTTTTAGGCACGGCTGTGAGTGGTGACAAAGGGGAGAAGAAGGAGGAAGAGAAGGAGATGGAGATGGAGGGGGTCGTGCTGGTGAAGCCCCAGCAGAACGAGGTCTCCTACTGCTGCAGGGGACGAGTCGGGGGTGTGGTGGTCGTGGTGGCGTTGGTATTTCTGCCGGCGTTCGTGCTGGCAGTGAGCCAGGCGAGCTCGGCGCTCGTGGCGTACGCGGGGCTCAACGCGACGCTGAACGAGCTCTTCACGCAGGCGCTGTTCGTCACGGCGCAGGGGTTCCTGCCGCTGATCGCGAACGGCAGCATCGCCTCGGCTGAGCTGTACATCCACACGGCCACGGAGGACTTTGAGCTGTTTCAGGACGACTCGCTGTATCGGCGCACGACGGGATTCCACGGACCGCTAGCGTTTGACGTCAAGGTGGAGAACGAGGACCCGCCCAATGTGCTGCTGGTCGTGGTGGAGTCGTTCCGGTTCCACGACTCGCGCTACCTCGTGGGGGAAGAAGACCCGTCCAACCTGTTCCGAGGCAGCAACATCACGGTCACGCCCAACTTTGACAAGTGGGCCAAGCGCGGCGTGGCGCTCACCAACATGTGGTCGAGCTGGCGGACGAGTCGCTCCGTGGAGAGTTTGCTGTTCGCGCAGGTCCCGTACGACAGCGTGGCGGACTCGGGCATGACTGGAGGCAAGAAGAACTACCAGCTGGACGGCCTGCCGCAGTTCTTCAAGGCTAAGGGCTACGAGCCGTTCTTCACGACGGGCTGCAAGACCGACTACGACGACTGGGACACGTTCCTCCCCTCGCACGGCTTCGACACTGTGTGGGGTCGGGACGAGATGATCAAGTTGGCAGAGAGCGACCTGGGCATCACGCACGACCAGTGGTTTGGCAAGGAGCACCGCGAGCTGTACTGGGGCGTGCACGACGACATCAGCTTCCAGCTCTTGGGCGATCTGATGGTGAACAAGACCAAGGAGCAGGCGGAGCGCGTGGCTCGTGGTGAGCCCAAGAAGCCGCTGTTCTTGAACCACTACACGATTTCGAGTCACGTGTCGTACGAAGAACGCCCGACGTGGTACGCGGAGTCCAAGAAACCGGACTTTTCAGCGCTGTATGATGGCCTGGAGAACGCGGACAGCATTAAGAACTACGTGGAGATGCGCTACTTCTCGGACATGGAGTTCGGCAAGTTCATGGACCGCATGTCGGCTGCTGGAATTCTGAACGACACCATCGTCGTTGTGGTGGGTGACCACGGCCAAGCTCCCGAAGCCGGTAACTACATTCCCGAGGCGCGCGACGTGTCCGTCCATCATGTTGCGGGCGCGCTCGTTGCTGAGGGCCGACTGGGTGACGCTGTGGGGATGAAGATCGAGGATGCGACCGAGCAGTACGATATCCTCAACACGCTGGCCGATATCGTCGGCGTGCCGGAGGAAGGGTTCCTGCAGGACGGAGTGGGCCGGTCACTGAAGCGCCAAGCCAAGTTCGGCGAGCGCGTGGTGTACAGCAACAACCCGAGCCGAAAGATGTCGGTCGTGCGTGGAACCGAAAGGCTACGCTACGACCGCGCTGCAAGGTCTGTGCTCCTTCACGACGCCAAAGCCGACCATGACATGCACATAGATCTGTTCCCGGACCTGACACCGGAAGCACAGGCTGAGTGGCTCAAGTGGCGAGACAACGGCCGCCAACTCACCGAGTATTACACCAAGCGGTGGGACAAGAGATGCCTGTTCGCGGGGCACTGCTGAGCAGCACGATGTACTAGTAGGTTTTTGTTAGTAGGCTACAATTCAGCCACCGAGCAAGGTGCAGTCGGACAATTATAATGCACTCTAAAGTCGAGCCGCCAGCAGGTCGGTCGTACAATATCTCGACTGAGGTCGGTGATCTCCTCGATCAACATGACAGAATTCCTCAACAGAAGCCATTCTACTCTTGTCAAGCGAGCTGAAGCTAGCGAGGGCTTCGAAAGATGTTGAGATCATCTCAACCAGAAATTCTGCGAGAGGCGCTGGAGCTGTTGTTCACAACCGAGTGTCGTATTCTCAGCGCTGTCACCAATATCTTCGCTCCTTTGTGGTATGGCTTGTATCTGCTTATGCCGGTTCGCCTCCCAAGCGCGATGTACCCCATTCCGAGCTAACGGGGGTCACAACGAATTCAATACGAGACCCATCCTCGTCTTCTCACCGGTGGAGCTCATTGCACTTGTGCTGCTCGTTGCGCTAATCTATCGGAGCCTCAGGATCGTTGGTGGCACGCTCGATCATGAGTCTGGCATTCCGTGTCGTACACACTGGTACGTTAGATCACGGTAGCGGGACCTATGGCTACAAGCGTGTTTTGGCAAGACGGTTTGTGTAGGGGTGGACTTCACGTTAATTTAAGCAAGTTCTGGAACTTCGATCTTCCTTCATCGTGTGTCAATAACAATGGACAAGCTCCAAAGTTTTGGTTTTAGATTCATTTAAAAATAAAATAGAGTAGACGCAGACGAACGTCCCCTTGCTGAACCTCAGCACGTCAAAGTCTAAAAATTCATTACATTGGGCGCCTTCCAAAACCCTCACCAAAGGTCGCGCATAAAAGTTTAATCACGGGGAATTGTTTGATGAGACCACTTTTTGGTCTCATCAAACAATTCTAATGCGACTCTTAACTAGCAACGTGATTAAACAGGTGACTGAACTCTGAACTCCACTATTCCCGAAGGTCGCGTTCCAGCAACCGTTTTAGGGCACATTAACGGTTCGGTAATTTAAAAAAATTACGGATTAAACTGATCAAACGGTTTTACATGTGTTTTGGAAGGCGCCCATTGACTCAGCGCGACGAGCGAAACAAATTCAAAGCTATCCCGAGCACGATCGATCGTCACCATGATTCACCCGCTGCCAGCGCGAACTTCCGAGGAAACGCGACGGGCTTCATCGCCAACACCCACTGGCAGCTCTTTCGCGCAATCTTGCTCAAAACTGCACCACACGTGGTCGACTGTGCATATTAGCTCTCGTGGACAGGGGTTGGAAAAAATAATATCTATACAATAGTTATGGCATTTTTAGCACAGAATAATTTATTATTGCTTTAGGATGTTCCCATACAAGTACAATGGAAAATTGTCCCAATAAACTAAGCTTATTACGAAAATTCCGTATATATTTATTGCCAATAATTGTGAAAAATACTGTATTATTGGCTGACCCTGTATTGCAATGATTATTACTGTGACTCCAAGACCAAAATACAATATGATATTTTATTTTCCGACCTCTGCTCGTGGAGGACAGTACTCCGTCGAACGACTTCTTGCGCTGGAAGAGTACACCCGACAGACGCCACTTAGTCGAGTTCTGTTCGTGGTTGTTGGGACCTTTCTCCCAGTAGAAATCTTCGTCTTGTGCCAGGAAGCCGTGCCCCTCCAGGACCCCGCACTCGGGTGGCGAGCCAACTACGGCTTCTGGGTTCGGGCCGCCATTGTGTTTGCGTCTGTGCTGTATGTCGTCACGGTCCAGGCAAAATATTTTCTCAAGAACTTTGTGATATCTCGGTGTCAGCTGCTGCTGCTCATCACGAGCGTCAGATAAGCTTAGGGGTTGATGTGGCTTGTGCTGCAAATGGCTGGTTCCCCATCCCGTTCGCTGCTATCGTTATGGCCCCAGCTTCCTATGTGATTTCCATCGCATCGTTTTGTGCTGTAGTGGGGATGCCCGCGGCCCGCGAGATACTAAAGGACAGGGATCGTCTAGTGCGATTCGGCAGCTTCGTAGCCACTCAGCAGTCCTCGATGCTCATCTACCCAGCCTATCAAGCCTTGTTTCACGCCACAGTCAATACAAACTGTAAGCTGTTGGTGACTCTTTTGCTGCCAGTCATCAAGAGGGTCGTGAAGAATATCGCGTTGCGCTGCGTGACTCACATGGAGGATATGATGCCGGAGATCGTCATCTTTACCGTCGATTTCCTTAACGCGCTGTACTTGGCCACGAGCATGGAAACCGCAAGGTCCTTTTCTACTGTGGGTCTCATCATCTTGATTGACGTCATGCAGTCAACCATGGTGCTTCTTAGTCTGCAGTGCACATTTCGAGGGACCTCCGCCGAGCCAAGTGCAATAATCTGGTGAGTTTAGCACGCGATCTTTGCCGGGTTGCGGGCAGTTCTAAAGTGAATGGTACAATTCAAACTCGATCCTGTCTTCAACGCGAGATGACCGCTGAAATACAAGCGTTGCTGGCTCAGATAGAGGAGCGCCAATACCACAAACCGCCCCCTACCCAGCGCAATTCAGGCATGCCAAGACGTCAAGGAGCGGTCCAAGGTGGGCAGACTGCAGTAGCGAGGTCCGCCCCCTTTCGTTGAGTTCCACTACGGGGCATGGTTGGCGGTTATTCCAACGTGTGAATGGCAACTGCGACACAGTGCAGCCCCATTTCCTCCAGGAAGCCCTCCAAGTTCTGTTCACGACCGAGTGCCTCCTTCTAACCGCTCTGATCGATGCATTCCTTTCCTTCTTCTATGGAGTCTACATGCTCGTGATGGTCCACCTACCGAGCGCCAAATACCATACTGAGCTGGCGGGTGCCATGACGGAGACGATTGGGGACGTGGTTGTCCCCGTGTTTGTGTTCTCAGCCGTGGAGCTCTCAGCGTTTGCCCTGCTGGCGGCGCTGATATACCGGAAGCTCGGGGTCAACGCGCTGTATCACGTGGCGTTCGTTTTCGAAACTCAAATGGAGCTAATTCAGGGCAAACTGTTTGCTTGGGTGACGCTGACGATGACATTACGAGTCATACACTTTGGTAGGCCCCGCCCTTAATGCGAGTCATGATCGGAATTATTTACTCTAATTGACCTCTTTGTCCGTGATGTTACACAGGAGCAGACTTTCCGTTTGATTTTGCTTGGCTTTCAAGCCCAAGCCAATAGAGTATTAGCAAGGTTCCTTCCGAGTACAATTCCCAATCTCATTGGCTATGATTCTAAAGCTCGCCCTCCGTTGCGGTCTCTTGCGCGCGCACAAAGAACCCCAAGTGAACTCCCCACATATTCTCTGGCCACGGTGCCTCAGATGGAATCACGAAATCGTGCGGGACTGCCCTGTCACCAAAGCAGGACTCGTAAATCTCCAGCAACGGCTCAACTCGCTTTTCCCATGCTTGATGCCGCAGCTCGAAACAAAATCCCAACGTACTCAACCGCTCGACGTCACGCCCGATTTGCAAGAAATAGGATCCCTCGTATTTCATATAGTACACTTGCCTACCAAGTGCCATATTCCACGCACTCTTGGGCCAAGGTTCACGCGCAGGTACAACAAAGCTCTGAGGCATCCGACAAGTCTTGAACTCGGCGACGTAGGTTTGTAGCGCTGGAATGATACGATCGTTCCAAGTGGACGCATTACGGTCCCAGGCGAATCCAATTTCGTTTAGAGTATCCGCGTCTCGAGCGACAAACTCCACATAGGTTTTTCCCATGCGCATATCATTGACGACCTGGCCAAGAGGAAGATCCCACGCTTCTTCAGGCCACGGGAACTCACGTGGTACCTTGAATAGCCTCTCCACGATGCAGTGGTGGTGTACTTGGCGGAAGACCTTCAGCGCCGGAAGAACCTTCTCGTTCCACTCACGCTCAGCCATCACCATCTCGAAGCAGAACTTCATCTCCTTGAGCTCGTGCTTCGATTCCTCTACTTGGCGAGCGTATCCACCCATATTCCTGATAAGAGTAACGGTGCTACCCAGCTTCCAACCCCACGACAATCGTGGCCACGCATCAACGCCGCCCGGGACAACAAACGCTCGCGGAACATCCGTGTGGCCGTTCACTGTGTAGAAGTGGCGCAGAGCTGGCAGAATGATCTCATCCCACTGGTACTGAAGGATATTGAAAGCGAAGTTGAGCTCCTTCAGCTCCGTTTCCATCCGCGCCGACAGTGCTTGTTTCTGGGCTTGGCCACGCAAACCACTGACTGCACGCCCAAGTGCGTAACCCCACGTCGCCCGCGGCCAGCGAGCGTCGCCCGTTGGAACGATAAATGAGTAGGGGGCCAACGTGTTCCTGTTGATCTTCTGGTAAGTTCGCAGTGCGGCCAGAATCCTCTCCTGCCACGCAGTCGTCCTCCCTGCTCGAAACCCCGACGCCCCCTTCCTACACCGTCGAGCTAAGACATCTTGCAGCTCGCACAGAACGGACACTCGGTGCGTGGTCACCGCGCTGCAACGCGAGGTGCGCCTTGTTGACGCGCCAAGCCCGGTCTCAGCATAGGCCTTCGTCGCTGAAAACCACACAATCTATTGGTTTCTACATTATTACGTCCGTAATTTTACGCAAAACGCATCCACCAGGCGTATTTAACGGGAGCGCACAATTTTTTTAAGAAAATAAAGTTAGTGCGGTCATTAAAATAAAGTAACATTTACAGGCCCGGGCGGCATGCTGGATGTGAAGCCACCACCGACATGTATGCGTGTGCTAAAGACTCAGAATTATCCTTCGAGTCCAACCGAAAGCAATGCATTGTTTGTCATGCACAACCTCTGCACGAGGAGCTCATCCTTTGATTGAGTTGCACTAAGCTTGCATCATGGTTTGTATCATTCGAAGTATGCATTCGTCATCCCTGGCGCATGTACACTTCGCGAAGGGTGCAATCCTCTCAAAAGCAACGCTGTCTACAAGATACGTCCGGTAAACACGGACTTCTATTATTTTTGCTGATTACGGATGCGTTTTGTCAAAATTACGGACGTAATTTGGGATTTCCCCTTTACTATAACGCACAGTGACATGGCAATCAGCATGGTGAGCGCCAATTCGAAATCAGCGGTCATAGCTATCGTAATGAAATTGATTCTGATTCATAAAACATGATCGACATCGTTCAATCCGCAGTCGTGCAATATCGCCTGTACAACGAACTGGTACGACTTTGGCGAGGGTCCATGAAGCTACGAAAGAGTTGGAATTTACTAGCAGTGAGCAGCAAACTCGAATTCGGTCGTACCTTCCGCACAATACCTCGACTGAAGCCCGTGACCTCCGCTACCGGCCGAAAAGAACGGCGCACACAGACCATAACAGACAACGTGTAACTCCTGCCAAGCGGATCGAGGCTCCAACTCGCGCTATACGGGCGTATGGAATCACCAGCCAAGGACCATTCTTCCAGCCCCAAGCACGCAGCTAATCCTTCGATCCGGGTACAAACCTTTGACAACACATCCCGATATTCTGCGAGAGACGCTGGAAGTGTTGTTCACAACCGAGTTCTAATTCTCATCGCTGTCGTCGATGCCTTCGTGCCTTTGTGCTATGGCAGTGTACCTGCTTATGCTGGCTCGCCTCCCAAGCACGAAGCATCATTCCGAGCTGGTGGGGGCCACGACGAGTACTATCGGAGACGTGGCTGGCCCCATCTTCGTGTTCTCAGCAGTGGCGTTCATAGCACTTGGGCTGCTCGTTGCGTTAATTTACTGAACTCTGGCAATCAGTGCGTTGTGTCATCAACATTCGTCCTCGAGACAAAGCGAAAGCTTTTTCGAAGCAAGTTAGTGGCCAGCTCGACTATAATTCTGACATTCCGAGTCGTGCACTTTGGCGCGTTTGCTAGTGATCCTGGTAGCGGGACTCATGTTCTAACAAGTCGGCTTGCTTCTTGTAGGGGTGGACTTCACGTTCAAGTTTATCTGGCTTTCAAATAAATAAGAGATTGCATTTCGAACGTAGTCGAGTCCACTGTACGCCAACTATGCAGTTGAGGAACCCCTCGCTGCGTTCGGTTGTGCTGTTCGACGCCACCTACGAATTAAGTCGCTACCACCGTTGCAGTTCCATGGCCACACAATCCCCAAGGTTTCTGCTATCCAGCACGTTCTCTAAATTAGTGGAACCTGTCTGCACCCGTGCTTCTTGGCAAGCCTCGGCTTCCAGCATTCGGCTTCGAGTCCCAGTCCATTCTCCAATTTACTCGGCTGCGATCCCTCCACAGTAGTGCCATCGATTCCGGCCGCATCGACCACGATTCTGCTCGAGACGCAGGTCCTCCCCCGTCTATCAGCCACGATGGTGTCGTCTTCGTCTGCTGCGTTGAGCGTGGAAGCCCCAGCGATGAACGAGAAGTTTTCGGCCTTCGACTCTCGAGACGACCTCAAGTCCAGACGCTGGCTGCGACCTCGTGAGGCGCTACTTGCGCTGCAATACTCCAGCTTCTGGTCCCACCGGTGGCTCGGCTGGGCCTTCGTCTACACGGCAGTGCTGCTCTTCTTCTTCATCTACCGCTGCGTGGGGCTCTCGGCGCTCATCGGGATGTACGGCACCGACAATGACAAGACCCTTGGAGTCGAACTGGGAGCGCTCGGTCTGGGGATGTTCGAAGACTTGATCTGTGCCACGTACCTCGTCATTGCGCTCTGGTTCATCGACTTCGTGCTGCTTCAAGCACTCGGCACCTCGTCCGACAGCATGACGGTGCAGATCTTCATCAAGTGGAAGCGCCAGCGCGTCATCCGCCGAGTCGTGACGTTCTCCACGTCGTGGCTGCTGTTCGTGGCGACTGCAGCTCCATTCGTGGCGGATATTCTACTGGCGCGACTGCGCAGCATGCGCTTCACCTTCGAGATCGTGGCCATGGCCATTGCCGACAGCGACATGGTCGGCAGTGTGGTCATCTCCCAGTCGGAGTTCAACGAGGCTTACTTGACGGGGGCGGTGCTGATTCTGGTTGCGACGCTCTTCGCCTCCGTTCGCACGTGGACGTCGTGGGCGGACCTCATGCGCTGGAACCCGACTCACGCACTATTTCGGGTTCTGGACAACGTCCGTAGTCGCTTCAAACGAGAGGACGAGGAGCTGTGGACGCCCAAGGAGGAGCTGAGGCACGATTCTTCTTCGTCCTCCTCGTCTTCTTCTTATAACGACAGCTACGACGACGTGAACGAGTTGCTGCTGGAGAACGGCAAAGCCGTGACGTACGCCAACACCGTCACACCAAAGCGACTGAGCAGTAGCGTCGGTGGGGGGGTGTCGCTGGACGAACTGATTCAATCGTCTTCGTCGTCTTCGTCTTCCTCCAGCGATCACGAGACGATGCACGAGCGCACTGTTCATTGGCTCCAGAGCGTTGACTGGTTACTCCTCGTACTGCAGCTCGCTGTGGCGCTGTTCGCCATCGTCTTCCTGCCCATGGTCGTGCTGGCCATCAGCCAGGCGTCGTCACCTCTGGTGGCCAATGTGGCGATGGATTCGACACTCAACGAGCTCTTCACTCGCGCTCTGAAGGTCACCGAGGTCGGATTCGTGCCTCTAGTCGCCGATGGGAGCATCAAGAACGCCTCCGTGTACATCCACAGCACGGAAGACTACACCTTGTCAGGTGAGGACTCACTCTACCGTCGGACGCACGGATTCAGCGGAGACTTGGCGTTCAACGTGAGCGTGAACGACAGCAACCCGCCCAATGTGGTCGTCATCGCGGTGGAGTCCTTCCGATTCCACGACTCGCACTACCTGGTGGGGGAGCAAGACCCGTCCAACCTCTTCAAGGGCTGGAACGGGACGGTCGTGCCCAACTTCGACAAGTGGGCGCGGCGCGGCGTGGCGTTCCCGAACCTCTGGTCCAGCTGGAAGACCAGTCGCTTGCTGGCGAGTTTGCTCTTCGCGCAGATCCCGTACGACTCGGTGCAGACGACGGACACAGCGGGGGCCAGGGCGGACGTGCAGCTCGCTGGGATGCCGCAGCTCTTCAAGCAGAAAGGGTACGAGACGTTCTTCACGACGGGCACGTGGACGGGATACGACGACTGGAAGGAGTTCCTCCCCGCTCACGGCTTTGATACGCTCTGGGACCAAGACAAGATGATAGAACTTGGTGAGAGCGACTTGGGCATCTCATCTGATGACTGGTTGGGAGCTGCTAAGCGGAAGTTCCAGTGGGGCGTGCACGACGACGTGAGCTTCGAGATCCTGGGCAACCTGCTGATCAACAAGACCAGGGACCAGGCCGCGACAGGTGAGGAGGACAAGCAACCGCTGTTCCTGACGCACTACACCATCTCGAGCCACGTAGACTACACGAACCGCCCCACGTGGTACGCCGAGGCCGACAAACCCGACTTCTCAGCACTCTACGAGGGCGAAGCGTACGCCGACAACATCAAAAACTACCTCGAGATGAGGTACTTCACCGACATGGAGCTCGGTAAATTCCTGGACCGGATGGAAGACGCTGGTGTGCTCAACGATACCATCGTCCTCATCGTCGGAGACCACGGACAAGCCCCTGAGTTCGGTAACGACACACCCGAGCAGCGCGACGTATCCTGCACCCGTGTGGCTGGTGCGTTGATAGCGGAAGGCCGACTTGGCAGCTACGTCGGACTGAGGATTGAGGACGCGGCCGAGCAGTACGACATGCTCAACACGTTGGCCGACATCACGGGCGTCCCTAGTGGAGGATTCGTGCAGGACGGCGTCGGTCAGTCCCTCAAGCGCAACGTCACCTTCGGGGAGCGCGTGGTGTACAGCAACAACCCAGCCGTCAAGAACGCCATTGTGCGGGGTCACGAGCGGCTACGGTACGACCGAAGTACCAGCTCCGTGCTACTGCACAACGCCTACAGCGACCACGACATGACGCACGACCTCTTCCCTGCCCTCCCCACTGAGGAGAAGAACCAGTGGCGCGCTTGGCGAGACCAGGGGCGGGAAGTCACCGCCTACTTCAAGAAGCGCTGGGAGGGCAAGTGTCAGCTCGCTGCTACATGTTGATTTCATTGTTGTTGTCCTCGATGTGAAGAAGTCCCTGCAAATAAAAATTGGTCTACCAAAACGTAGAATTTGGCAGCCTTGGGTGCACTCTCTGAGGCGCTTCAGTTGGCAGGACGTATAGAGCTGACATTGCTTCACCAGTAAAGGCCCTCCGTTAAAGGGCGGAGACCACGACTTATCATCATGAAAAGACAAATGCTCGAAATTTGCTTACATGTTACTTCGAAGTAGTTGAACAGCACACCGTTCACCCTAATAAGTCGTGCGACCTAATTAGTCGTGCACCTTTGATAATCATTCCACCGGTTCTGAAAAGTGTTTTTCATTTTCACCTTACATCGAGAAAAGAGACCGGATTCAGGACGAATTGCGTGATGCATTTATTTTATCGTAGATAGGAATAGTTTCCCCGAAAACGGAATTTCAAAACAGGGTGAGCCACTCTTCAGGTCGTACACGGTAAATAGTCATGGCACGACTAATTAGGGTGAACGGTGTAAAGGGGAAAATTATTGTATTATATTATGGTGATAATAATGGCGACACTATAATAAATTAAACGGGAAAAGACGAATTACCCTCGTAATTTTAAAATAATCCCATAAATTTGTCAGCTACCTGGCATTTTTGTGTATAAAAATATTTTTATTGTAACATATAGTACAACTATTAATATTTTCGTTGTATTAAGAACGAATACCAGTACACGTCTTGCTAACTAGTTCTTTGCGCCGCTGGCGAAGCAGGCATATTTTAAACTGAATTTCCTTGCTTTATTTTAAATCGTACGCCATTGTTTTTCTAGTGTGGGCTCTCGTTGAGTGATACGAGATTGTGCAGCCTAATTGGGTAAGACAACTTGGAAATGGACTTCGATGGGCTCGGGCGCAGAGTTTATAGCCAAGAAAAAATGTTAATCGGACAAGCGACTTGTGTATCTCATACAAAAGTTGAGGAAGGCGAGCCAAGTACCACGTGTTTGCCGCGTCGAGCAACAATATAGTGTCGAGTAAGCCGTGTAGGTGTCGAGTAAGCCGTGCAACTCATCGCGAGGTGTCGTGTAGCCTATCGAGTAACCTGCGAGTAGCCCGTGTCGGTGTCATGTAGGATAGCTTTCATCTTATTAGTAATCTCGCTTCTCGCTTGCGTCACTGCAGTCTACGCAGTTTACAAGTATCATGCTGATCGCGGCGATCGCCACACTCGAAAAAGTGGTGCAACGGGAAATAATGCGCTACTTTTGAAGCTATTGTTTGCCTACTATCTAGGCCATCGCAGAACGTAAGCTCGCAACATTCTAGGTGTTGAACACGTGAAATACAGTTACTCCTCATATTACTTTAACTCAGACCTCCCTTATACTGGCACCTGCCGGGATGTGTCGGATTAGCTATATTTCGGCACTCTTGTTTAGTTTATTTCGGCACAGTGCCAGTTTAAGGAAATAAAGTATGCAATTTACTACAATTTCTCAAGCATATCGAACTGTTTAGCCTGGAAGATGCCTTCAAGGGCTAAAGAAGTCAACGAAGTGCGCCGGTCGTTCAGTTCACACTTCGATACGGAAAAATCGGATTCGACGGACGCCGTATTCGCGAATACGGTTGCCAATCCGCAGCAGATGTGAAAATGCAGCAGATGTGAAAATGTCTTTGGAGCAGCAGCGTTTTGCACTGAATCCCAGGCGTCGTTGAAGCTGGTCTCATACGATTCTTCCTCCAGGGCTGTGCGAACCATCTCATCAAGCAGATTGGCTTGACACAGCTCTCGATGCTCCCGTTCAACGGCTTCAATTTTTGCCTCACTCCAAAACAAAGCCAATTGATCGCGGCGAGGATTCAAAATATCTTCTGCAAACTGGCGAGGAGGGACTGTGACAAGCTCAGCTGGCATTACTGGCGGAGCCGGAGATGCGGCAGCGTCATTGTTGTTGTCTCGCTCAGCTTGTACATGCTCCATACCTTCAATTAGATGCAGTACAAACTTGCCAAGCTGCCTCAGAATCGATTTTTTGTCGGCATCTGCAACACTATTCATGTGATACTTGACGAACGTCCCCTGGTCTTGAATAAACTCGAGCAAGTGTTGCTCTTTGAGCCAGTACTTCATAGAAATCGTGTCATTAGTGCTAGATTGGAATTCAGAGCTAGGTACGCGTTCAACTCGTAGCAGTTTGCGAAGGCGATCTACAAGGAGGTCAATCTCTGCCATTTGCTGCGAGAGCAGGACATCCTTCCCCTGTATCTTGACAAACGTGACGTTCACCACCACCGTTATCCCACAAACAACAGCTGCATTGATTCACCATGATGGCGTTGGTGCCGCAGACACGTTTTCATCAAGGTGTTCTTCGAGGCGAAAATGGTTTTTTTAATATCCACTGCAATGCGTTTCCCATGTACAGCCACCGATTAGTTAGTTTTTTGGCGGCACCTCCCATTTCAGTAATCAGCGTTTTTTGGCGGCGACGGTGAACAATTAAATCCTTTGTATTCTTCACAAAGTCTCCATTCCCAACAATGGCAAAACCGGCTTTCATGACCAGGTCCATCTGATGAGCAGCACACCACACTCTCAGCACCGAGTGGGTGGCCTCTTTCTCTAAAAGAGCGACCACCCCACCATGACGGCCTGTCATAATGTTCTCTCCATCCGATGAAATACCAACCAACTTCTGTCTCCAGTTAGCGAACAAAATATCAAGTACTCGAACAATCAGGTGAACTTGGACCACAGCAGTGTGGCGGTCAAACATAGGGACCGCGAGCAAGTGTAGGTTGACTAGCACGCCGTTGACGGCAACACGAACACGCTGATCCATCAAAGAGCGATCAGTGTGGGTTGTGATGTCGCAAGCAAATGCAAACACCCACATATTGGGGTCTGCGATGAGGTTGCTGATGCGTTGAAACGAATAGGCAACTAGAATACGAGCATAAGTGCCTGCCATAGCGTCGGTCATACCGTAAAGCTTCGAGTTCCCTGTGGCGTTGTAGTGCTGCTGAATTACTGCTGCCGTCTGCCGAAACGACTATCCAACCGAGAGATGTTTGACCGAAAGAGTAAACCGCAGAGGCGTCTTAATTTCCATTGTGTAGACCCCATCCACTACCGAGCCGAAAGCACGAAGAGCCCTCGCAACAGTCATATCATCATCTTCATCTTCAGCATTGAAAAATACCTTTCCAATCAGCTCAGTCACAATCAACTCTGGAAAAGAAAACCGCAACACAGCACTTTCTGTGTCAAAATGAGCTACCAATTGGTTGCTTCGAGAAGTGAGATCAGCAAAAAATACAGCCTTCTCTGCGTCCCTGAGACCTGTGTATTCTCCCCACTTAGCTGAGTGCGCGGATGTATTGTGCTCGATGTAGTTCTGGGGTCGGAAAGGAGCATTGTAGTACTTCATATTTTGAGTACGCTTTCGTTTGCCCTTGGGTGCTTCCTCTCTACCAAAATATCGGCAAAACAGGCAGCGGACCGAGCAAGCCGCTCCCCCAGCATCACACGCTACGACCTCGAGTCCGTACTGCAGCTTGTGAGCGTCATGGAACGGGGTTTTACGCGAGGGGGGCTTCTTAGAGACGCTTGGCTTTAGCTTCTCCATCGTTCACTGCTTGAATTCTGCGATTTTGAACGGTCGCTTATTTCGGCACTCGAAAAAACTTCAAATAGGCACATTGCCATATATAAACTTCAAGTGCCGGAATAAAGGAGGTCTGCTTTAACTGCCCCCCCCCCCCCCCAGCCTCAAGCAAAGCCCCTTGTTTTGGTCGATTTATTAATATCGAAGTGTTATAATATCGACACAAATGTACCGATATTATATTACTGATATCATTTCTCTATTTTGCGCTACGTTAGTATTATATTAATTACAAATATCGATATACAATATTTAACGCATTATTTTCTGTCGCTACTACGTGTAAAAACACCAATAAATCAGACGAGATGCTCGCCAGCTGTACTTTGACGGTGGCGCCTCCAACTATGGGTTCGGAAAAGAGCACCAAAAAAATAGAGGTCAGCACTAACCAAGGAATAGTGCAGATGCACTTTGTTACTAACTCGGGCCACTGATGAAGTGGAATGGAGCACTATAACTTTGTCAATTCCTACTTATCAAGGTGCATGAAAAACCATAGCAAAACTGACAACAATCGCATTGACAGGCAAGCTAACACGCTCGCCTGGTTGACAAAGTTGACGGAGGTGCACGAGTTCCTCGTTTTCGAGGCGCTTCCTCAAGTCCAATTGGCACTGCGTCAGATGAAGCTCGACAAAACTTTCGTACGCTTAGAATGCAATCTCTTTACAGCTTGTTCATTATCTGTTCTCTACCGGCTATCTGTCGCCGACTAGCGCTCACTGCGTGTTACGTCTCCGTCTGCCATCCACTGGCACTTGAGTAGGACACCGCTGTCTAGCGATCACAGAGCCCAGCAGCAGCACCGAGGCCATGGACACGCTGACGGCCGAAGAATCCGACGAGTCGCCTCTGGCCGCACTCGATGTGGTGCCCTCGTAGCTGGTCCAGTCGCTGGCCGTCTGGTCCGTAGTTGAGCACCTCGGACGGGCACGACTCGTCCTCCACGCTGTCCGATTCCCACGTCGAGTCGGCGAGGGCCGAGAAGCCCGAGGGGCAGTCCGGGGGGGCTGGAGCGGTCCGAGTCAGCCGTGAAGTCATCGTACGAGGACTCGGACGAAAGCCCGAGTCATTGTACTGCATCGAAATGTTGTAGAAGTTGGGCATGGGGTTGTACGAGCACATGGTGACGATCCAGTCCCTCGGGCGAGTAGTAGCCCAGTTCGTAGTTCTGCGCGCCGTAGGACGTAAACGGATACGCCGAAGCGGACGAGCCCGAGCCGTCTGAGTTGGCCGTTTCGGCCGAGTACTCGAACGCGAAGCCGCCTGTGAAGACCTTGCGGACGTCGTCACCCAGCAGCCAGCCAGGTTGACGCCACGTGCGCTGCGCCTCGTAGTCGCCCACCGTGGGGAAGCTCGGGTTCACGCAGCCGTACTCGGTCAGCATGACCGGAATTGACATGCTGTAGTTGGTGAAGTCCGTCAATAGCTCGGAGAAGCCGTCGGCGTCCGCCAGCGTCGTCACGTCTCCGTCGCAGTACTGATACGTGTTGAGGCCGTACCACTCAGCGTTCTCGTACTCTTCAATCAAGTCCGTGCGGCACTTGTAGTACTGCGCTTTGAGCCGGCGGTTGTTGTTGGTCGTGTCCGGGTCGGCCATCACGTCGCCCACGGGGATGCTGAGCTTGGTGGACGAGCAGCCGCCGATAGTGGACGAGCAGCCGCCGATGAAGGCGCGCGTGTGTCGGATGAACTTCGTCTAGCACACGGTGATTGTGGCGGCGTCGATCACAAGGAGGTGAACTACCGCCCAGTGTAGCCTGTTAGTTACTCGTCCACCTGATAGAACAGTTCTCGCACGTGGCGCCCAGGTCCACAAGATCGAGCATGCCGTACTTGCGTAGTTTGTACATGAAGTCGGCGTGCGGCTTGGACAGATCAACGTCGTACAGACACACTGCGTTGGCGCCCGTCTCGGAGGGGCCATGGTCTTGGTCTGGGAGTCCAGCTTCTGCTAGGCGCTGGCGTCCTGGATGGAACCGTTTGTCAGAACCAAATGCACGGTCTCAAGCAGCACCAAAACGGATAAGTACCTCGTCGTAGTTCACAATGTTGCAGGTCGGCACCGATGCACTGCCTCCATCGTATCGAGACCTTCTCCCGCTCTTTACCGCGCTTTTAAAAGTGAGCGAATCAATGGATAAGATGATTTATTGATCGAGTTTATGTAATAGGTCTGATTTATGCTAATCATATGGATCCTGTCCTTACTGCCACCTTCAACAACGCCCGCCACTTCACCTACTGCCGACTGCGCTTGTTAGCGCTGAACGCCTCACGGGCGCGTCGCGATAGCACTCGGCGCCGCTCGGAGCGTCGAAGTGACGCGGATCCTTCAGCATTTGCTTCATGTAGTTCCGATCCGCTGCTCAGCGTGCCAGCCAACACACCTAGTAAACTGGGATCTCCTGCAGGACCCGTCATATGAAGATTGGTCGGATCACGCGATTCGGATGCGCGCACTCTTGGCACGCCAGTGAACACACCGGAATGCACACACGAGGTGGTGACGGGCACTGCAGAGTTATCTGCGTGGTCTGCAAGTGCCAATGGAGTTGTTACGGGAACGCCAGGAAAGAATTCGCCGTCCTCCAGCTCAACGCTGGCGGGTCCGCTTGACCCTGCCGAGTTAGCTCGGAACTCTGCCAAGGTTGCCGGGCCGAGAATAATTGCGCCCTCCGGCACCTCTTCTGACACTGGCTCTGGTCTCTGCACGCGTACACGGCTCGGCGATCGAGGTCGTCTTCTCGACTGGTAGGGTGTGACAAATCTCTGTTCCGGTCGCGGCATGCCAGGACAAGGCAGATTGGCGAACTTTGCTGCTTTGATAACGTGAAAGCACATACCCGCTTTCCTCCACACCAAGCACATGCACGTTCGGGCCGTAGCATCTACCACCCAGCCCCCTTGCGGCATCTCCTTCCACATGATCCTGTTGTAGTTTACCGATTTATACGATAGAAGGGCTCCAGCGGCATCCTCAACAACGCTGGTATCCGGTTCAACTGCCGTTCTCTGTTCGGGCTCCGGTGCAAAACTCACCAAAACCAGATCACGGTTTTGTACGCGGTGTACAAGACCGCTCTCATTGTTTTCTTTTTCTCGGCTTGATTGAAGGCCGCCTTCAACCGCTTCGAAACTTTCGGTGCCGAACTGAATGGCACCATACTAGTCTCGTAGGCGATGCGCGACAAATCCAGCCGGCCCACCAGTTCTGTCGGGTTTGCGCGCTTACTGTCGTTTACCAACTTTAAAGTGTAGTGGTACGTTTCGAGAGGGTTGTTTGTAGCTGCGTACCCCGTCGGTGTGTGATACGCTTGCCACTTAGAAAAGCGGGGATCCAAAAACCACGTCTTGATAATGTGCTTCGCGACACGTTTGAATCGGGGACACAAAAGACTTGCACTATTCCACGACGCGATCACAAAAGCGCGTTTCTGCATGTAGCTATCCTCATCCGGGGCAAAGTGCAGATCATAAAGATTGCGAAAAATTAACTGGCGAGATACCCCATCCAAACCATTCTCATCTGCATATTTGTGCACATTCTGAGTGACATGAAACCAGCACATAAGCACTGTGGTTTCAGGTAGCTCAGCAGCACACGCGTTGTACTGGGCTTTGTCAGCATCCATCATGACAAAGTCAGGCTTGAAGCGGACCTGAAACTCGCTAAACACCACACGCTTCAGAAACGCTAGACACCACGAGATGTCGACGCCTCTACGCTGAGACGCGCAGTAGTAAAGGATGGGTAGGAATCCACCAGGACAATCCGAGATGCCCACAACAAAAACAGGATACTTCTGTTTCACCACACCATGTGTACAATCCAAATGAATCAAAGTAGTGAGATCAGGATCGTTTTGAACGACGATGTAGTATTCCATGAGTTGTAGGCTTGTTAAGCCAATACGAAAAGGATCCGCCTCCGATCCCGTACCCAACAATGGTAGCCTACTGCCGTGCTCATCTTTCGAATCACAAAACACGAGCAAATCCACAGGGGCTCGACTTAAATCTTCACGCTCGTACATTGAGCGAATACAAATCTCCATGACGGGGGCCATGCTATCCGGCTTGTTTTTCGCACGCCACGACTTCACATTGTTCTGCACCTTCTCGAGATCTGGGGCTGAACCTGCAATTCGGCGCTCACGGACCTCGCGTGACAGGAAGGAAAATGCCAATTGAGCCACCATAGATGGCGTTTCCTCAAGTTTAGCATTTAAATACTCCTTCATAGCCGTAGAAAGCTTGGTGCTAACCGGAGACGGTGGTGCGTCGGCAGCCATTGTATGCTCTCCTTGCGAAAATAAAATCTTGAAATTCACGACCTGGACTTCTGGAATTCCCTGGCATTCAAGGACCTTGTAGCGACAGGGACAGGCTTCACCGGACATCTCACAGCGCTTGTATTTGCACTTAGTCATCAGGCACCGCATATCATGGCGCGTTACAGCCAGCGAGTCTTCTTCACGGTCGACATGATTCATCGTACAGCGCACTAGATCGTTCTTTTTTTTCAGCTAAATGTTGGTAAGCCCGCCTCAAACTCTTCGTTGGGGGTGGCGGGCCCTGTACGCCAGAGCTCAAGCCAAGGCCGCCGCTCACGCCGGCCCTGTGTGCTCCTCGCCATGGCAATTGCAAAATAGCGGTGGTTGTCGAGATGTTTCGCCCTATCTTATTTATTATTAGAATCTTGTTGATATGGCATCAGTGAAAAGTTCATTTTCAGTAGTGCTGTAATCCGCGGCTTTAGTGATAGGTTAAGTGTAACAGCTATTTTTACGTAAGTGTACCGCATCCCAGGATTGGTGCAAACCGCCTTTATTATTAGTGCGTGATTCCATCAGAAAGTGCTCCACTCCCATATGCCCGGTGATTTGTGAGGCCCTCAATAAATCACACCCCAGATTTCGACGAAGGCCCATGCTGAGAGCGCAGCGCCGCGTTTGGCGCGTCAACAAGGCGACCCTCCCGTTGCAAGCAGCGGATGTCAGTTCTGTGCGAGCTACTAGATGTCTTAGCTCGACGGTGTTGGAGGAAGGGGGCGTCGGGGCTTCGAGCAGAGAGGAGGCCAAGCTGACGGGCCAGCATTGGAAAACTATTGCGTGGGAGGCGAAGATTCTGGCCGCACTGCGAGCTTACCAGAAGATCAACAGGAACACGTTGGCCCCCTACTCATTTATCGTTCCAACGGGCGACACTCGCTGGCCGCGGGCGACGTGGGGTTACGCACTTGGGCGTGCAGTCAGTGGTTTGCGTGGCCAAGCTCAGAAACAAGCTCTGTCGGCGCGGATGGAAACGGAGCTGAAGGAGCTCAACTTCGCTTTCAATATCCTTCAGTACCAGTGGGATGAGATCATTCTGCCAGCTCTGCGCCACTTCTACACAGTGAACGGCCACACGGATGTTCCGCGAGCGTTTGTTGTCCCGGGCGGCGTTGATGCGTGGCCACGATTGTCGTGGGGTTGGAAGCTGGGTAGCACCGTTACTCTTATCAGGAATATGGGTGGATACGCTCGCCAAGTAGAGGAATCGAAGCACGAGCTCAAGGAGATGAAGTTCTGCTTCGAGATGGTGATGGCTGAGCGTGAGTGGAACGTGAAGGTTCTTCCGGCGCTGAAGGTCTTCCGCCAAGTACACCACCACTGCATCGTGGAGAGGCTATTCAAGGTACCACGTGAGTTCCCGTGGCCTGAAGAAGCGTGGGATCTTCCTCTTGGCCAGGTCGTCAATGATATGCGCATGGGAAAAACCTATGTGGAGTTTGTCGCTCGAGACGCGGATACTCTAAACGAAATTGGATTCGCCTGGGACCGTAATGCGTCCACTTGGAACGATCGTATCATTCCAGCGCTACAAACCTACGTCGCCGAGTTCAAGACTTGTCGGATGCCTCAGAGCTTTGTTGTACCTGCGCGTGAACCTTGGCCCAAGAGTGCGTGGAATATGGCACTTGGTAGGCAAGTGTACTATATGAAATACGAGGGATCCTATTTCTTGCAAATCGGGCGTGACGTCGAGCGGTTGAGTACGTTGGGATTTCGTTTCGAGCTGCGGCATCAAGCATGGGAAAAGCGAGTTGAGCCGTTGCTGGAGATTTACGAGTCCTGCTTTGGTGACAGGGCAGTCCCGCACGATTTCGTGATTCCATCTGAGGCACCGTGGCCAGAGAATATGTGGGGAGTTCACTTGGGGTTCTTTGTGCGCGCGCAAGAGACCGCAACGGAGGGCGAGCTTTAGAATCATAGCCAATGAGATTGGGAATTGTACTCGGAAGGAACCTTGCTAATACTCTATTGGCTTGGGCTTGAAAGCCAAGCAAAATCAAACGGAAAGTCTGCTCCTGTGTAACATCACGGACAAAGAGGTCAATTAGAATAAATAATTCCGATCATGACTCGCATTAAGGGCGGGGCCTACCAAAGTGTATGACTCGTAATGTCATCGTCAGCGTCACCCAAGCAAACAGTTTGCCCTGAATTAGCTCCATTTGAGTTTTGAAAACGAACGCCACGTGATACAGCGCGTTGACCCCGAGCTTCCGGTATATCAGCGCCGCCAGCAGGGCAAACGCTGAGAGCTCCACGGCTGAGAACACAAACACGGGGACAACCACGTCCCCGTGTCAGCTCAGTATGGCTCGGTAGGTGGGCCATCACGAGCATGTAGACTCCATAGAAGAAGGAAAGGAATACATCGATCAGAGCGGTTAGAAGGAGGCACTCGGTCGTGAACAGAACTTGGAGGGCTTCCTGGAGGAAATGGGGCTGCACTGTGTCGCAGTTGCCATTCACACGTTGGAATAACCGCCAACCATGCCCCGTAGTGGAACTCAACGAAAGGGGGCGGACCTCGCTACTGCAGTCTGCCCACCTTGGACCGCTCCTTGACGTCTTGGCATGCCTGAATTGCGCTGGGTAGGGGGCGGTTTGTGGTATTGGCGCTCCTCTATCTGAGCCAGCAACGCTTGTATTTCAGCGGTCATCTCGCGTTGAAGACAGGATCGAGTTTGAATTGTACCATTCACTTTAGAACTGCCCGCAACCCGGCAAAGATCGCGTGCTAAACTCACCAGATTATTGCACTTGGCTCGGCGGAGGTCCCTCGAAATGTGCACTGTTCGCCGGTGCAGACTAAGAAGCACCATGGTTGACTGCATGACGTCAATCAAGATGATGAGACCCACAGTAGAAAAGGACCTTGCGGTTTCCATGCTCGTGGCCAAGTACAGCGCGTTAAGGAAATCGACGGTAAAGATGACGATCTCCGGCATCATATCCTCCATGTGAGTCACGCAGCGCAACGCGATATTCTTCACGACCCTCTTGATGACTGGCAGCAAAAGAGTCACCAACAGCTTACAGTTTGTATTGACTGTGGCGTGAAACAAGGCTTGATAGGCTGGGTAGATGAGCATCGAGGACTGCTGAGTGGCTACGAAGCTGCCGAATCGCACTAGACGATCCCTGTCCTTTAGTATCTCGCGGGCCGCGGGCATCCCCACTACAGCACAAAACGATGCGATGGAAATCACATAGGAAGCTGGGGCCATAACGATAGCAGCGAACGGGATGGGGAACCAGCCATTTGCAGCACAAGCCACATCAACCCCTAAGCTTATCTGTAGAATGACCACGCTCGTGATGAGCAGCAGCAGCTGACACCGAGATATCACAAAGTTCTTGAGAAAATATTTTGCCTGGACCGTGACGACATACAGCACAGACGCAAACACAATGGCGGCCCGAACCCAGAAGCCGTAGTTGGCTCGCCACCCGAGTGCGGGGTCCTGGAGGGGCACGGCTTCCTGGCACAAGACGAAGATTTCTACTGGGAGAAAGGTCCCAACAACCACGAACAGAACTCGACTAAGTGGCGTCTGTCGGGTGTACTCTTCCAGCGCAAGAAGTCGTTCGACGGAGTACTGTCCTCCACGAGCAGAGGTCGGAAAATAAAATATCATATTGTATTTTGGTCTTGGAGTCACAGTAATAATCATTGCAATACAGGGTCAGCCAATAATACAGTATTTTTCACAATTATTGACAATAAATATATACAGAATTTTCGTAATAAGCTTAGTTTATTGGGACAATTTTCCATTGTACTTGTATGGGAACATCCTAAAGCAATAATAAATTATTCTGTGCTAAAAATGCCATAACTATTGTATAGATATTATTTTTTCCAACCCCTGTCCACGAGAGCTAATATGCACAGTCGACCACGTGTGGTGCAGTTTTGAGCAAGATTGCGCGAAAGAGCTGCCAGTGGGTGTTGGCGATGAAGCCCGTCGCGTTTCCTCGGAAGTTCGCGCTGGCAGCGGGTGAATCATGGTGACGATCGATCGTGCTCGGGATAGCTTTGAATTTGTTTCGCTCGTCGCGCTGAGTCAATGGGCGCCTTCCAAAACACATGTAAAACCGTTTGATCAGTTTAATCCGTTATTTTTTTTAAATTACTGAACCGTTAATGTGCCCTAAAACGGTTGCTGGAACGCGACCTTCGGGAATAGTGGAGTTCAGTCACCTGTTTAATCACGTTGCTAGTTAAGAGTCGCATTAGAATTGTTTGATGAGACCAAAAAGTGGTCTCATCAAACAATTCCCCGTGATTAAACTTTTATGCGCGAACTTTGGTGAGGGTTTTGGAAGGCGCCCAATGTAATGAATTTTTAGACTTTGACGTGCTGAGGTTCAGCAAGGGGACGTTCGTCTGCGTCTACTCTATTTTATCTTTAAATGAATCTAAAACCAAAACTTTGGAGCTTGTCCATTGTTATTGACACACGATGAAGGAAGATCGAAGTTCCAGAACTTGCTTAAATTAACGTGAAGTCCACCCCTACACAAACCGTCTTGCCAGAACACGCTTGTAGCCATAGGTCCCGCTACCGTGATCTAACGTACCAGTGTGTACGACACGGAATGCCAGACTCATGATCGAGCTTGCCACCAACGATCCTGAGGCTCCGATAGATTAGCGCAACGAGCAGCACAAGTGCAATGAGCTCCACCGGTGAGAAGACGAGGATGGGTCTCGTATTGAATTCGTTGTGACCCCCGTTAGCTCGGAATGGGGTACATCGCGCTTGGGAGGCGAACCGGCATAAGCAGATACAAGCCATACCACAAAGGAGCGAAGATATTGGTGACAGCGCTGAGAATACGACACTCGGTTGTGAACAACAGCTCCAGCGCCTCTCGCAGAATTTCTGGTTGAGATGATCTCAACATCTTTCGAAGCCCTCGCTAGCTTCAGCTCGCTTGACAAGAGTAGAATGGCTTCTGTTGAGGAATTCTGTCATGTTGATCGAGGAGATCACCGACCTCAGTCGAGATATTGTACGACCGACCTGCTGGCGGCTCGACTTTAGAGTGCATTATAATTGTCCGACTGCACCTTGCTCGGTGGCTGAATTGTAGCCTACTAACAAAAACCTACTAGTACATCGTGCTGCTCAGCAGTGCCCCGCGAACAGGCATCTCTTGTCCCACCGCTTGGTGTAATACTCGGTGAGTTGGCGGCCGTTGTCTCGCCACTTGAGCCACTCAGCCTGCGCTTCCGGTGTCAGGTCCGGGAACAGATCTATGTGCATGTCATGGTCGGCTTTGGCGTCGTGAAGGAGCACAGACCTTGCAGCGCGGTCGTAGCGTAGCCTTTCGGTTCCACGCACGACCGACATCTTTCGGCTCGGGTTGTTGCTGTACACCACGCGCTCGCCGAACTTGGCTTGGCGCTTCAGTGACCGGCCCACTCCGTCCTGCAGGAACCCTTCCTCCGGCACGCCGACGATATCGGCCAGCGTGTTGAGGATATCGTACTGCTCGGTCGCATCCTCGATCTTCATCCCCACAGCGTCACCCAGTCGGCCCTCAGCAACGAGCGCGCCCGCAACATGATGGACGGACACGTCGCGCGCCTCGGGAATGTAGTTACCGGCTTCGGGAGCTTGGCCGTGGTCACCCACCACAACGACGATGGTGTCGTTCAGAATTCCAGCAGCCGACATGCGGTCCATGAACTTGCCGAACTCCATGTCCGAGAAGTAGCGCATCTCCACGTAGTTCTTAATGCTGTCCGCGTTCTCCAGGCCATCATACAGCGCTGAAAAGTCCGGTTTCTTGGACTCCGCGTACCACGTCGGGCGTTCTTCGTACGACACGTGACTCGAAATCGTGTAGTGGTTCAAGAACAGCGGCTTCTTGGGCTCACCACGAGCCACGCGCTCCGCCTGCTCCTTGGTCTTGTTCACCATCAGATCGCCCAAGAGCTGGAAGCTGATGTCGTCGTGCACGCCCCAGTACAGCTCGCGGTGCTCCTTGCCAAACCACTGGTCGTGCGTGATGCCCAGGTCGCTCTCTGCCAACTTGATCATCTCGTCCCGACCCCACACAGTGTCGAAGCCGTGCGAGGGGAGGAACGTGTCCCAGTCGTCGTAGTCGGTCTTGCAGCCCGTCGTGAAGAACGGCTCGTAGCCCTTAGCCTTGAAGAACTGCGGCAGGCCGTCCAGCTGGTAGTTCTTCTTGCCTCCAGTCATGCCCGAGTCCGCCACGCTGTCGTACGGGACCTGCGCGAACAGCAAACTCTCCACGGAGCGACTCGTCCGCCAGCTCGACCACATGTTGGTGAGCGCCACGCCGCGCTTGGCCCACTTGTCAAAGTTGGGCGTGACCGTGATGTTGCTGCCTCGGAACAGGTTGGACGGGTCTTCTTCCCCCACGAGGTAGCGCGAGTCGTGGAACCGGAACGACTCCACCACGACCAGCAGCACATTGGGCGGGTCCTCGTTCTCCACCTTGACGTCAAACGCTAGCGGTCCGTGGAATCCCGTCGTGCGCCGATACAGCGAGTCGTCTTGAAACAGCTCAAAGTCCTCCGTGGCCGTGTGGATGTACAGCTCAGCCGAGGCGATGCTGCCGTTCGCGATCAGCGGCAGGAACCCCTGCGCCGTGACGAACAGCGCCTGCGTGAAGAGCTCGTTCAGCGTCGCGTTGAGCCCCGCGTACGCCACGAGCGCCGAGCTTGCCTGGCTCACTGCCAGCACGAACGCCGGCAGAAATACCAACGCCACCACGACCACCACACCCCCGCCACCTCAACCTTCTCCTTCTCCACCTTGTCATCACTCACATCCGAGACCCTAAAAAGCATCAGTTCGTCCAGCCAAGCCAAGCCAAATCAAACGAAAGTCTACCTCAGCAGCTACTGTATCAGTACAGCACAAAAGGCAACCGCAATTTTTGATACATTTTCGTCGCTTGCCTCAACCCTTCGTCTTGTGGGTCTTCTTCTGGTCCAGCAGCAGGCTGTCCATGATGCTGGCGGACACGTAGTCAGCGCCGCCCTCTTGACTCTCCACTCTGGGGGCGAACTTGCCCTGCTCCGCCAGCTTCAGCTCAGCCATGGCCAGACTCGCCTCGGCACTGCGCCGCACACCGTCCTGCAGCTCGTACGCGGCCGCCGAGGCCAGCGACACACTGGAGCGGCCTGCAGACTGCGCCTGGTCCGCTGCCGGCGTCGATGTTACGGATGCCGCACCAGTAGCATTCGTAGCTGCTGCGGCTGAGTGGTCAAATGTGGCGCCTTTAGGGGCAGATGACGGCACTCCTGAGGGCTGCAGGGGGCGACGCATGTTGCCGACGGTCGTGAGCTCGGAGCGGATCTCGTTGAGCTCCTCGATGCCGCGCTGGAACTCGCGTTGAAGCTGGCAGAAATAATATAAAGTTACACAAACGGGAAATGAACAAGTATGAGAGACTGAATGGCTGCACACGCACCTTGACCAGGTCGTTGTCCTTGGTGGCGTCGAAGAACTCCTTCTTGGCGCGCAGGATGGCGCCCACGGAGCGGCCGCTGTAGAGCCCCAAGAAGCGCCCGATCTTGGGCAGCTCGCGCCGCCCCAGCAGGAAGCTCGACGCCGTCACCGTCACGAAGACCGTCCCCCAGTGCACCATTGGCCTTGCTTGTGCTACAGTGACAATTGACGGATCTAATCAAAGGCGTTTATATTTTACGTCGTCCGGCATACTTGTTAGGTCAATCAATAATAGTGATATAGTTTCATAATGTCAATATTACTGCTTTAGTACCCAATTATGTTTTCAACAATTTTTTATAAATTCTCTGAAAATTATTTCAGAGTCTACTGGTGTTACCACTTTCCGCGCCATTTTGATATATTAGAGTATAGCATCAACCTCTTTGCTCAAATGCTTCATTAGCTGACGGGTCACCCATTTCTCAAACTTCATAATATTTTTTTGTTAAAAAACACAGCCATCGCAATTTAAAGGGTCTGATTGTCCGAAAATATTATACATAAGTCTACAAAGTAAACAGATGTTGAGCCACTGCATTATGAAAAACTCCTAATATCGTATACCTCTAGTCTATATGAATCACCCACGTGAATGTTGACCCTGTCGGCGACGCGTCCATCTTCGCGCTACATGCGAATGTAAGTAATTAAAACGGTAATTTATTGCGTGGGTTTTTCTTGGGATAAATACAGGTCTCAATTTATCCCATGGGACGCAACCCGATCTTCATTCGCCGAGCAGTGCCATTGCAGACACCACGGCGACGCTGCATGGCCTCAATCGCGTAGGCAGCTCGGTGCAGACATGCCGGAGCAGGAGCTGCCCGCTCTGGAGGACGGCACGCCCGCTGAGGGCGACTACGAGCTGCTGGCCGCGTCACCGCCCGAGCAAGAGCGCAACCAGGATCAGAACCCTCGCTCTTCCAAACTTGGATCATCCCTCGCTAGCTCGCGTGTTGGCGGTGCATCCGCAGAGATGAGCGTCTCGTGCCGCAATTGCGTTGATTTTGTCGCGGAGATCTCGTTGTCGGCGGCGCTTCTAACTCCATCGCTGAGAACGACCACTGTGACGGCAATGATCAGCGCAAATCGGAACAGGCCCATGCTTCTTCGAGCAGGATACTGCGCTCCGCTTGGACGGAGAAAATAGCAGAATGCCGCCAGCTTTCTGTCGTGAGTCAAAGAGACACATTTTCAACGAGCACACCATGAAGCGAACTCTGCAAACCGACAGCGGGTCGACCAGTACGGATGAGGTGCGTATTTGCTAGACTCTATTCGCTACTCAGTATATGCTGACAGTGCGTCGTTATGTGATCGCCAGCCTAGCCACACCTTGAAAGCCTTTGGAGATCTCCACAATACAGTGAAGCGCGTAAGGCAGGCAAGCGTGTGCAGCGGCAGTGCCGCCTGTGCCACAAGAAGTGCTCCTACTACTGTGTAGGCTGCTCGGATGTCCATTTGAAGTCGTTTTACGGTGTGTGTGGGCCAAGATCGCACCGTGCCTGCTTCAGTGAGCATCTTGCATCACCTTCTATCTGAACCTTCTCTTCACATACATATGTTGCATCATACTAAACGCCATATTAAAATTAATCTATGCACGCCTACTAGTAGGATTGTACCCATGCTACTGGTATGCTTTCGACCTGGGGAGAAGAGATTAATAAAGCACAGATTGGTCAAGCTAGTTTTTCTAATTCCAAGTCAACTGACTCTGGGAAAAACCTGTTGGCTGTTTTGGTAACAGCTTTTACTATAAAACCTATATTAAAACCTAATGATTAAACGTGATGTGCCAGCCCTGAATGGGATAGTTTTGTTCACTAATTCGCGCCAAATCAGTAAAGGAACTACCTGGACACTGCCCCTTACGCCGAACGCTTTTTTTTCCAGCTAAGACGAATAATTCACCCAGACACTCGGACACACCCCACGACAGCATCCTCCGCGAAGCGCTAGAAGTTCTCTTCACGACAGAATGCCTCATCCTCAGCGAGTTTGTCGACGCAATCGACCCCTACGTGTATGGCATTTACCTGCTCGTAATGGTTCATCTCCATAGTGCCGAGTAGCATTTGGAGTTGGATGGAGTCACCACAGAGACAATTGCGGCTGTGGTTAGCCCCATCCTAGTGTTCACTCTAGTGCAGTGCGTTGCGCTTGGGCTACTGGTAGCGTTGATTTACCAGGATCTTGGGATCAACGCGTTATATTAATATCACTTGGCGTTCATCTGCCAGACCCAGTAGGATTTAATCCAGGGCAAGTGGTTTGCTTCTGCCAAGCATTTCGAGTGGTGCACTTTGGTAAGGTGGCGCGCTCCACCGAGCAACACAGATGATTCCTTATCGTTTTTTTTCGTTGTTCTTTTATTTTGCAGGAATCGACTTCACGTTCGACTTTGCCTGGCTTGCCAACGCGAACTACAGTAGATCTCCGAAATCTAAGTTTTACTATAAAAAATTAAAATAACGCATTTTTCGCACCAAATTGCAAAATTGCATATGTTTCTCATCAGTCGTCCAGTATCAGAATCGCAATAATGGACGACTTACTGCGCGACTTGGCCGAGCCGACGCTGACGCTGGAGGAGGCGCTGGAGCTCATCGACACCTGCGACGTCGTCTCCAGTCTCAGCACCCCCGATCTCCCTGCGTGCAATGACCCGGAGGCTGCCTCCCAAGCGGCAGTCGCAGCCTCAAGTGAAGACCCCACGAAGCCCAAGAAGCGCGTGCGCAACCCCCTGAACGACGTCTGGCGGCGCCAGAGGAGGAAGGCGGAGCGCCAGCAGCTGAAGGACCAAGTGGAAGAGTACGAGGCTCAGCTGGAGCGGCTCAAGCGCTGCGGACAGGCCCAACCCGACGCTGGGGCGTTGACACCGCAGCGAACATGGCTACACGCGGTCATTCAAGAGCAGCGGAAACGGCGTCAGGCTGAGCAAATTAATGCCAAGCTGAGGCAGCTGCTGGCTGAGAGACGGCAGACAGCGTGGGCGGTGCGTGACGCGCTGGCGAAGGAGAAGAGGCTGCTCTCGGTGAGTTTTATAGTTGGCCCCTTGAACTTTATTCGTGAGCTGATTGTTTGGCCAAATGTGTCTTTTTATTAGAAACTTGAATCCTCGGAAGAAGTGATGGCCTCAATGACGTCCTCCGCTCTCAAGTCGAGTTTATCGGCGGACGACAGCCGACTTTCAGGACTGCGGCTGGCTGTCCAGCGCGTCTTCGACTCCACGGACGCAGTCTTTGGTTCGTTCCGTGCAAGTGGGTTTGACTCTGTGGAGTCGATCTCGCGGGTCAAGCAGCGAGACCAGAGTGGTGGACAGTCCATTGAGCTACTCACCGCTACGCCGCTAGCTTGTGGGTTTCAGACGGCTAAACGCGTGCTCTGGGGGGTCCTCGCTGATAAGAAGTGGCCTGGCGACCAGAAGGCCTTCGACCTGAAGGTACGCTATGCATACTCAACATGACAGCAGAATCACCCGCTTAGGTACTAAAGTTTTTTCTGTGTCTGGCAGGCGAAGGAGAGCTCGAATGAATCGATGGAGCTGAAGTACTCGATGGGTCTTGAGCCGAGTGAGCTCAGTCTGAATGGAGCTACCTTGCTTCAAAGGAAAGACGAAGACGATCGCACCGTCTTGGCATGGACTTCGATGATCACGCATACGCATCAGCAACTTCGATTTCAGTCCGAGGGGTGGATAGTAATCATGAAATCGCCGACCAGTCCTCACGCAGCCTCCAGCCTACGAACATGCTGCCGGATTTCAGCCAGCAGTGACGGAATTCACAGTTCCTCGTCGGTGAAGCTCCAAAACTCGATCCTGCGTTCTATGGGGCACCGTGTGAAGAGCCGAGTCGAGGGTGTTCAGCAGAGCCTTGTGGAGAGAATTGGATTGCCAGGAAGCGCTGGTTTGATTTTCATCTAAACCCGCAAATTGCTGGATTCGAGCACTTTTTTCGATATCAAGCCAAATGGTTTCTAAAAGTGTCCGTGGTATTTCTTTGCCTTGCCAACAGCTCTTGCTGGTTGATTGCCTGTGTGGCCGTGGTGGTGGTGGTTGGGGGAGGCAACTAGTAGGTAAATTCAGCGCATAAATCAACCTGACTCGGACCAGGTAAGAGCCGTGCCGCACACAGGCAGGAATAGATGGTGATGATATATATTGAGCTAGCAGAAATAGAGCTGAAGAGTGATCGGGTGGTCTCTTGGCGACCAAAGTATGATCCACCCAGCGCCTGCCGACATCCCTGAAGTGCTTCATAGAACTCCTCTGTCGGCTTCACCTATCGGGTATTCTAGAGTTCGAATCTGGAGCTTAAAACTTCATCACGTTTGGAGGGCAGCCAACATCAGCAACCGTGGAGCGCAGTACTCTGTCGAACGTCTGCTTGCTCTGGATGAGTACACTCGAAACACATCGCTCTCACGAGTTGTATTCGTGATTCTCGGATCGTTCCTGCCTGCGGAGATACTAATCATCTGCCAGGAAGCCGTGCCTCTCCAAGATCCGGCACTGGGATGGAGAGCGAATTACGGCTTCTGGGTCCGTCTACCAATTGTGATCGCAGCCGTGCTGCACACCGTCCTGGTTCAAGGAAGATATTTCCTCAAGAGTTTCGTAATATCTCGGCGTCAATTGATCCTGCTGATTTCAATGTCCGTGACGGGGCAGATGCTTGTCGCCATGATTTTTGCTGCAAACCTCTGGTTCCCGATCCCGTTCATTGTCATCACCTTGGTCCCTGGTTTCTACATTTTATCAACGGGGTCCACTTGTTTAGTGGCAGGAATGCCCATAATTCGCAAGGTTCTGAAAAACAAGGAGCGCCTTGCGCGATTTGGCTGCTTTATAGCTGCTCAACAACTCATGGCACTTGTCTACCCAGCTTACCAAGTATTATTCCACGCCACCCACGATACGCGCTATGGGCTTTTGGTAATTCTTCTTCTCCCCATCATTAAAATTGTTATGAAGAATATCGCGTTGCGATGCGTGGCCCACATGGAGGATATGATGCCAGAAGCGGTCATTTTCACCGTTGATTTCTTCAACGCACTGTACATGGCAACCTGTATGAAAAGCACGACGTCGACGTCCACCGTCGTAATTATCGTGCTGGTGGATATTGCTCAATCCGCTACGGTACTATTTGGCTTGAGCCGACGAACTGCGTCATTTTTGAGACGGGTGAACGAGGCCTCAGCAGCGTTGGGCATGGCAGATAATTTACTTGAAGCTGCCACTCAACTTTGTAGAAGCGCAGATACTTTTGGGGAGCAAAATTGCCAGCGAATACGGCTCTGTATTCGAATTCAATCCTGCATTTCGCACTGCGTCTCGGCAGACGTTCGCGAATTGCTTCAACGGCTGCAGATGACCGCTCGTACTGGATCACACCACGTAAACAGGCACCGCTCTGCCCCTGTTAACCGAATCGAACTAATCCAATGGCGTCGCATTCATAAAGTTGCCACCTGGACTCAGCATCATGACCGGAACATTATTTTTCCGGCCCAGATAATTAATCCTAGGGGATCAGATAAGCCAGACTACTCTCCGAAACAGCGCGACTGCACGGTAACACACCCGCATATTTTACGTGAAGCACTGGAGGTGTTATTTACAACAGAGTGCCTTCTCCTCAGCGCATTCCTTGATGCATTTGTACCCCTGTTTTACGGGATCTTCATGGTCGTAATGATTCATCTTCAGAGCGCTGAGTACCATTTCGAGCTGGTCGGCGTCACGACTGAAACGATTGGCGACGTGGTTGACTCCATCTTTGTCTTCTCGATCGTGGAATTGATCTCATTTGGACTCCTGGTTGCAGTGATATACCGAAATCTACGGATCAACGCGTTGTATCACTTGGCGTTTGTTCTTGAAACCCAGTCGGAGCTAATTCAGAGCAAGTTGCTGGCTTGGGTTACGATGACGCTGGCATTCCGTGTGGTGCACTTTGGTACGCCAGCTTTTTTTTGCTTTGTTTGCTAATGATCACATCGATCAATGATCTTGATTTTAACAGCTTTGTTTGTCGTTGTATTTAGGTATTGATTTCACGTTCAAGTTTGCGTGGCTTAGAAACACAAATTAGCTACTTGTACTTCGAAGTCGTGTTTCTCCGGCAGGAAAATATGATCTAGTTCGTGAGCAGTTGCCAAATATATTAGCTGTATACTATGTGGGCGGTGACTTTCTGGAGCCGCTGTACGTAGCAAAATGTAGGTGCGTGAGTAGTGCGAAAAGTTATGTTTACTCTCAGTGAATCAAATTCAGCCATGGCTTTGGCAAAACATGGCTGTGAGATCGTATTGTGAACGAACGCTCGTCCTAGTACTGATTTTTTCGAGGCGCTGCATATTGGTTGTGATCAGCAACGGGTACTGAATCGTCGAATCAAACCTGCTGTGGGATCAACGAACGTATAAGCACGTGTTATCTTTGCTTCCCGCGGACATGATGCAAGCGCTTCATCTACCCGTGTATCTGATAGAAGGTATAAGCTGCATTCACGGTTCACTTGTGGTCGGTGTCTAATTACAGCACAGTCGCTCAGATGTTGTTATCCTGCACGCGATCAAAATAAAGGCGACCTTGCTCCTCCCTGCAAACACACGTTCGCGTCCGAGCTCAGCGCTCGATGGCCGCCATTCAATAGCATGATTCACCCGGACCCGGATTCATCGGATATCCCTGATGTGGCTCAAGCCAACACCCCACCATCTCGGATTATCAGTCTCTCCTGCTTCCGGCAATGGCTCCTCAAAATCTCTCGGTTTTGGTCAGCAGCTCATTTGAGCTATCGCGGAGGGAAATACTCAATCGAGCGGCTTCTCGCTCTGGACGAATACACACGAGAGCATTCACTACTGCATGCGCTAACTGTGTGCGTCGCATCATTTCTGCCAGCCGAGATTTTTATCATTTCGCAGGAGGCTGTGCCTCTCCAAGACCCCGCACTCGGATGGCGAGCGAACTACGGGTTCTGGGTCCGAGCAGCTATCGTGATAGGCGCTGTGCTCTACACTGTCACGGTCCAAGCCAAATATTTCCTCAAGGGCTTTGTCATCTCTCGGTGGCAGCTTTTCGTGCTGTTGACGTGCGTTGTCATCGTCCAAATGATATTCGCGGTGACTTTTGCGGCCAACGTCTGGTTCCCGATCCCGTTCACTGTGATCACGTTGGTACCAGCTTTCTATGTGGTTTCGGCCACGTTCATTTGTCTAGTAGCTGGGGTGACGGTCGTCCGATCTGTGCTGAAAGATACTGCTCGCCTGCTTCGATTTGGCAGCTTCATCGCTGCTCAGCAACTGTTGGCCCTAATTTACCCCGCTTACCAGGTTTTGTTTCAAGCTGCAAACAACACAAAGTACGAGCTTCCCGTGATTCTTCTGCTTCCGATCATCAAGCTCGCCGTGAAGAATATAGCGTTGCGGTGCGTGACTCATTTGGAAGACATGATGCCCGAGGCGATCATCTTCACGGTGGATTTTTTCAACGCGTTGTACATGGCTACGTGTATGGAAAGCGCGACGACGACGTCGACGGTCATTGTCATCGTTTTCATCGACACCGCTCAGTCCGCTACAGTTTTGTTCCGCCTGCACCAGGGGACGGCGACAATTTTGAATACGTTGAATCAAACGACTACACCTTGTCATAGTGCTGCCAGCTTACTCAGCGGAACTTCTCAACTCTGTCGAAGTGTGGATGGCTTCGAAAAGCAGAATCGGCAACGAATACGAATTCGCTCGTGCCTTTTTCACAATATTTCGACTGAGGCCCGCCAACTTCTCGACCGGCTGGAAAGAATTTCTCTACAAGTGCATCGCCGATCGTCTGCCCCGACCAAACGAGTGGGGATTAAGAGCACCGTCATATTCGAAAAGCGGCGCAAAATCAGCAAAGGGGCGACCTGGGCTCATCGAAATGTTGTTTTACCAAGCCAGCTAAATAACAAGTCGCCAAGAGAACCGACTGCACCAGAATGTCCCGTTACAGCAAGAAGCAGCGCAATTCTGAATTCGCGAATGCTTCAAGAAGCTCTTGAAGTCTTTTTCACAACCGAGTGCCTCCTGCTCAGCGCATTTCTCGACGCATTCGTTCCGCTGTTCTATGGGATTTTCATGTTTGTCATGGTCCACCTACAGAGCGCCCAGTACCATTCCGAGCTCGTTGGAGTCACGGCTGAGACGATTAGGGACGTGGTTGACTCCATCTTTGTGTTCTCGAGTGTGGAGCTGGTTGCGTTTGGATTGCTGTCAGCGCTCATATACCGGAACCTCGGGATCAACGCGCTGTACCACCTGGCGTTTGTTCTTGAAACACAAACGGAGCTGATCCAGAGCAAGTTGCTGGCTTGGGTGACGATGACGCTGGCATTCCGTGTGGTGCACTTTGGTACGTTATTCATGATAAAGAGTGCGGAGAGAAATGAGCCTGCTTTTTTTCATTAACATATCTGTTTTGTCGCTGTAAGGTATCGATTTCACGTTCAAGTTTGCGTGGCTGGCTAAAGGAGGCTAGCTACCAACCTCGTTGGAAAGTGTTACAACTTCAACAGGTGATAAAGTAAGGAATCACTTTCAGGAATGCGTGACGGGTTTGTCGTGTGAGCTAAAGTTAATGTGTCGTTCAGTCTCGAATTGGCCTGTATTGTCCATTTTCATTCCATTGTGCGATGTACAAATAGCTTCTGAGTTAAACCATGGACTAGCGAAGGTAGATAAATATGCCCTTCATTAAAAGTCTCGAAATAGGCTGAAAACTTGGCCATTGAAGCATTTTGGTCCTCAGTCCGCGCCAGTCCTCCAACCTAATTCATGAACAACACGATTGTGCCTTATGCAGCCACCTCATCGACCACCGCACCTGACGCCTCGCTACTGCGGACGTCGTCCCACCTCTTACAGCAAACAGCAGAGGTCACGCAGCAGCTCTCGCGGTATTGGGCCGAGCTACACGTGGGCTATCGAGGCGGAACCTACTCGATCGAGCGATTGATTGCACTACACGAGTACTCTACAAGTACGTCTGCAGTGCACGTGATGGGTGTATGTCTATCCGCTTCGCTGTCTGTGGCGCTATTTGTCATCGCGCTCGAGTCGGTTCCTCTGCAAGACCCAAACGCAAGGTGGTCCGAGCAGTATGGCTTCTGGATTCGCGTCGCTGTCTTCTCCATGGTCATCGCTAACGCGTTCCTGGTCCAAGTGAAGCACTTTGTCCAAGGTTGTGTCATCTCGTCACGACAATTATTCATCATGATATTATTTGCTGCTGTCTTCGAAACCCCGCTTGTCGTACTGGTCGTAGCTTACACTACGTTCCCGATACCATTCTCCATCCTGACAATGGCTCCGACCTTTTACCCGATTCTGCTTGTCTTGTTCTGCATCGTCGTCCCTAGAGACGTCATTCGCGAGATGCTGCAGCATTACGACGACATTGTGAGGTATCTCAAGTTCACAGCTGCATTGCAGGCCATGGCGGTCATCTACCCTATCTACCAAGTATTCTTCCATTACGTCCACAAGACAAAGTATGAGCTTCCAGTGATGCTTCTTCTTCCTATCATCAAGCTGCTGCTGAAGAATATTATTCTACGCACCGTGACTCATATTGAGGATACGATGCCCGAGGCCGTCATCTTCACCGTCGACTTCTTCAACGCGCTGTACGTGTCCACCAGCATGGAGTCCGCGACGTCGACATCCACCGTGGTGATTGTCGTGCTGATCGACATCATCCAGTCGATGATTGTGCTTTACCGTCTCAACCAGCGAACTTCCCGTCTAAAAGATGTATGGATCAGTGACAACGACCTCTTGAGCGTGGCATTCCGCGTTTGCCAATCTACCGACGAGTTCCGAAAGCAGAACCGCCAACGCATACGCATTCGGTCGTGTCTTCCGTATAAAATATCGCCAGAGGGCCGTGATCTTCTCACTCGCTTGGAATCTGCGTCTCGATATACATGTACGAGTTCCGATACGAGTAGGCGTCACACGTCTCCAGCTAATTCGAAGCAGAATTTGTTTGTGAGTCGACAGAAGATCAGTAAGGCGTCGACATGGGTGGAACGTAGAACGCCGACTATCGTGACACCGGCGGGAACTATCATTGCTGCCGAGTCAAGAATGACTACGAAGCCCCATCCGGAGAATTTGCACAAGACGCTGGAGCTGCTGTTCACGACAGAGTGCCTCTTGCTCAGTGCAGCTCTTGATGCGCTTGTGCCGTTGTTTTATGGCAATTTTCTTCTGCTGATGGTGCGTCTACCGAACGGGAAATATCACACCGACCTAGCTGGTGCCACGATCGAAAATATTGGCGGCCTAGTGGACACCATTTTCGTTTATTCTCTTGTTGAGGTCGTGTCGCTTGTGGCGTTAGCTTGGATGATCTATCGCAATTTGGCTATGAACGCTCTGTATCACGTTGCGTTTGTACTGGAGGCGCACAGCGAATTGATCCGAGCCAAGTTGCTGACGTGGATGCTAATGACGATGGCGTTCAGGGTGGTCCACTTCGGTAAGTGCGTCGTTCAGCTCCAACTCCATGGGTTTTGTTTACTGAGAATTATGCTTTTTCGTGTTTAGGCATCGACTTCACCTTCCAGTTCGCTTGGCTCTCAAGTTAACGATTCTAAAGAAATTAACGATTGTTCACCAAAGCCCAAACTTTCGCCACGAACTTCAGCTTACCATTAGAATCCTGCTAGCTACGCGTACCAGGGAACTAGTTGACGCTCTTCCTAGCATCCAGGAACTGCTTGAAGTACTTGTAGTTCTCGTGGGACTTCATCGCGCTATCCGACAGCCCTTCCAAGCTCAAGACCTTCTTGACGTAGTCGACGCTCCGTTTCGACTGTGCCCAAAGCCGCGTCTTGACCGCCATCTCTGCTGGCGAGCCCACGCTGGTCATGGAGGGCACTTTGTACGCTCCGAGCTGCAGAATCACGTCGTCGTCGTACATCTTGACGTAGCGCTTGTAAGTCGCGAGGCCGGGAGCGTTCACGAGCTGATTCTCGTCGAGCTTATGCAGGCCGAGGTTCTTCCAGGCCTGGAACGTGGAGACGTCTCGCGTCAGCCACTTGTTAAGTCTGTTGAATTCCGCCTTAGTCACGAACTTCTGGAAGTATTTGTAGTTGGACGTGAGAGCCGCTCCCGAGAGCGTGTCGAGCTTGAGCGCCTTCATGACGTCTTTTTCCGACTTTCCGGTCTCGAGCCACCACCGCACATTGATTTTTTTGAAGAGATCGGAGAAGAAGGAGCGTTCTTCGCTGGTAGACAAAGCAGAATCATCGGTATTTATCACGCTGGTGGCTCTCAGCGCCCTTGCTTTGGTGGGCCCAGCTACATAATTCCAGGGCTGGCCATTGATCGAAATCTCCGTCGAAACCTGAGGCTTCCTGGCATCTACGAGAACTGCGCTGCTTGCGAGGAGTATGACAGTGATCGCGAGCAAGGCTTGGGCCACGTGCATGACTGAATCAACCCGACGGAGCTCTTTGTACGGAAGACTGAAATTTCGGGCCGCTGAATTTCAGCCTGGAAGGGGAGCAGCTTCCGATGGGGCCTCCCAATGTCCCCGGTCCACGACAACTCCCCATCCTAGCGCACCGAGCACAGTTCAAGAACCAGACGACTTACTGGGCAACACTCGCTGAAGTCATGTAGAGTTAGTGCTAACGCACCTTCCCCGTAACACCAACAGACAACGACTTACAAAGCCGGCATGCTTAATGCCATCCTCCTGTATAAAAACAACGATAAATTCCCTCCCGTTAAATCTGTAAAACTGTCATAAAACACACGGTGGGTTGCATAAAGTACACAAGAAAGCATATAAAGTACACAAAACCAGATGATATACAAAGATGAAGTCATTTGATTGAATCTGATTGGCTGGTTTGCTCATGTTAAGCTTTGCTTGACTTCGTCTGCCGGCTTTGTAAGTCGTTGTCTGTATCTCTGGCGAGCTGCGAGGATCGTCAAGCTTTCACTATGAAAGCCCGATGCAAAGCCTATGACAGATCAGCGGCTGTCCCAGCTGCTCGTGTTATCGAAGGTGAGCATCGCAGCAGTGAAGAGCGCTTCGATGTTTACGCGGACCATGGGTTTCGGGCGGTTCCTTGGGTCCATCGAGACAGCACCGAACTTGACGATGAAAGCCTGGCCCCATTTGACTCGGAAGCACGAGCCGCCTGCATTGGATTCTATTAGCACCTTCTCCGGTCAGGTACAACATACCGTTGGTTTGGAGATCGTAAGTCTTGTCAGGTGCATTCACTGCATACAGTAGTGTACCTCGTGATTCACGAGGTACATTCGTCAGGCCTTGAATGGATCATTGTCTGTGTAGGCTCCGACGGCCATGCCGAAATGCCACTTTAGATCGATGTGCGTCCGCGCACGTCCTATCCTCCTCCTTGTCCCCAACACGTTTGGCTCCATTTCCAACGGTACAAGTTGCCTTTTTCTCGCTCAAAAAAATATCAGATCGAGTCGACATGGCTACATCTCTTTTCCATACTGAGACCAAGTCATTTCCGAGCAGCTTAGATGGATTTTTATCTTTACCACTCGCCGCAAATAGGTAACTAGTAGCTAGCTGGTCAACAGAGCAGCCATTCCTCCATGGAGCAGTCTCCGCGCAGCAGCAGCAGCGGCGGCGGCGGCGCCAGCGACGCGCCCAGCAGCGTGCTGGGCCACCAGCGGCAGAACGGCTTCGAGCGGCCGTTCTCGCGCGACCAGGTGATCTCGTGGCTCGGCCACTCGCTCTCGGCGCTGAGCTTCTTCGTGGGGGCCGCCGGCGTCTTCCTGTGCACGGGCGAGGGCGCCGTCGAGGAGGCGAATACCAACAGCACAGTCACCACAATGGTAGAGCGACCGCAGTTGCAATGCAATGACTAGATGGAGAACTAACCCACCTTTATTCGTGCTGTCCTGGTGCCAGACCATTGTGGCGGTGGCGGTGCACACCGTGAACTCGACGATCCTGTTGGCGTCCTGGAGGTCCTGCGAGTCGATCGACCCGGCGGCGCCCGTGGAGGACTCGCTGCCCAACGGCTGGTGCGGCGTGCGGCTCGACGGCCCGCGGTGGGAGAAGACGCGCTACTGCGCGCTGTGTCGGAAGGCCGTGCCGGGGCTGGACCACCACTGCACGTGGCTGCAGACGTGCATCGGCAAGGCCAACTACGCGCAGTTCTTCACGGTGGCCTGTACCGGTACGCTGCAGTTCGTGCTGCAGGTGGCGTACGCCGCGCTGTGTCTGCTGTGGCTGCACCACAACCCGCTGGACGACGCAGGCGCGTTCCAGTACGTGGTGGAAGGCTGCTTGATCGCGTGCCTCGCCATCTCGGTGCCGTGCATGTTCATGTACTTCGTGCTGCTCGGGTTCCACCTGTGGCTCATGGTGCTGGGCTACGGCACGTACGAGTGGATGCTGCGGCGACGCAAGGAGCAACGGGCCAAGCTGGAGGCCAAGAAGAAGAAGAAAAACATGGGCGGCTCAGAGGAGGTCAGCTCCACCAGCACGCACGAGTCCGTGTCAATAGAGTGCAGCAGCCACACAGTAGTCAAGGTGGAGGACGTGAACCCTGAAGAGCGCGAGCGAGAGCTCACGGTGCTGTAGTAGCCACAGTAGCCACACTCCCAACCTAAACAAAACTGTAAACAATAGTATCAGAAAAGCACAAAGCTTAGCAAGAGCCGCACCGGACCTCATATCTTCTGCGTCTATATTCCAGCCTCTCTCCAGTGCGCGCCTACTGCTGCTGCTGCTTGACTTGGGCCACGGCCTGCTCGATGCGGGCGTTGATGTTGGGGAGCAGCTTGATGTGCGCGTCCACGCAGGAGGAGACGCACTTCTCCATCTCCTTCTGGGCGCGCGCGATCTGCGCCTCGTTGGGGGCGCCACCGGCGGGCAGCGAGTCCTGCGCCCGGTCCTGGCAGTCCTGCACGCCGCGCTGGATGCGGTGCTGGAAGTTCTGCATCTCCTGCTGCATGAACTGGTTGATCTGCTGCGTCGGCATCTGGCAGCGCTCCACGGCGGCCGCCAGCTGGTCCGACGACCAGCTCTTGTTCTCGAACACCTTGGCGGCGCATAGGTAGCCGTCGCGCTGCATGCCGCGCAGCACGCTGCGGTCCAGGCGGTCCACCATCTTGTTCACGGCGTCCTGCAGCTTCGAGTCGGCCATGGTCTTCAGTCTCGGAGCTCTTTGAGACTGACGCGCATGGGCATCGTGTGGCGCACACGACCTGTGTACTCCACCTCAATTTGATGTGCACTACCCCAGATCACTCCACTTTGTGCATAACGGCACTAGTCGTCATGGACTCGGACGCGTCACCTTCGGAGCTGCAGCTGGGCGCGTTGTACGGGCGCTACAAGCAGTGGTGCCCGCCGCCCGCGCCCCCATCCGACGTGCCGATGGAAGGTGCTTCCGTCGAGGTCCCGCTCGCCTCGCTCTGCGCTCTGGTCGTGCAGTTCGAGGCGACGGCGCGCGAGGATCTGCGCGTGGGCTTCGCCCCCTCCCCCGCGGCCCCAGGCGACGGCTCGGACGACGCCGAGCGACGCAGGAAGCCACACACCGAGTGGAAGTACGAGGTGGCGGTCGGCACCAGCGGCAACACGGAGCTGGTGTGGCGCAAGGCGGCCTCGGGCCGCAGCAAGGAGGTGGTCCTGGCCCGGGTCTTCACGGGCCGCACGTGCTCCGCGCAGGACTTCGTGCCCTACTGGGTCGTGGTGGACGTCAAGAGCGGGTCGCTGTCCGTCGGCGTGGGCCCGCAGGTGGGGCAGGACGTGCTGGCCTCGTGCCAGGACCCGGACTTCGTGCACGTGACGCAGACGGCGTTCACGGCGTGGGACTCGCCCGTGTCGCTGCGCGGCATCCAGGTCCACGGCGTCTACGAGGGACAGAGCGAGGCTCTGGCTGCTGCCAATGTGGCGGCCTTCCCCGCGCCCAGGGTCATGGTGCGGGCTGATCCTTGGGGTAAGGAGGATCTGCTCACGGCGGAGCAGAGACAGCAGTACGAGGCGGAGTACGCGGCCTCGAAGCGCCGCGCGGAGAGGTTCGGCGCGCCATTTGCGCCGCCTGACATCAAGAAGTTCCTGGACCCGAGGGAAGTGCGGAAGCTGCAGCGCACAGGCGCCATCGTGCCCGGGTTCTCCACGGGCATTGACGTCACGAGCCAGGAGGAGCAGAGCAAGCGCGAGCAGCGCATGAAGAGGTTCGACACGCCGCAGTTTGCTGTCGAGTACTCGGCTGAGAGTGCGAGGGCGTTGGAGCAGGGGATGACGCAGGAGGAGTGGGCCGAGAAGCAGCGCGACCAGGAGAAACTGCGTGCTCGCGCGCAGAAGTTCGGACTCTCCGCGGAAGAAGACCGTTCTCAGGTTGTTGTTTCGGGTCTTAAGCCGGCTTCTGCTAAAGTGGCTCGTGAGCGTTGTGACGTCAAGGCCCCCGATGTGGAAGGACAGCCGGTGGCGTTCCGTAACGACGCGCTGCACATGTATTCCCTGGACGATAAATTCCAGCAAGTCCGCACGAGCGATGTGCTGGAGTACTTTGTGGGCTACGGCCCGGCGTACGTGGAGTGGCTGAACGACAGCTCGTGCACCGTCGTGTTCCAAGACAACTTCACCGCTAGCCGAGCTCTGATTGCGCTTGGCAAGGAAATCCCATCGCAGACTCTCAAGGAGAAGAAGGAGAAGGTGAAGACTGAGGCTGCGTCCGGTGAAGATGTCGACATGGCGGATGCGGAGGCACCTGCTGACAACGACTCTGCTACGGCGATGGAAGACGTTGACGAGGAAGTGGAGGTCCCTGACGTTGCCTTCAACCGATCGCAGTGGTATCTCGGTAACAACCCCATCGGCAGCCAAACGCAGTCTCGTGACAAGAAGTGGCGAATCCTGCTGCGCAAGGCAACGGACGAGGACTTCCCGCCTGAGAAGCTCCCTAAGAAGGGCATGTATCACTCTCGCAGCAATCTGCGCAACGACTCACGCGGTAGTCGTCGTCGCAATGACCGGGAGTATGGATCTTCGTCGCGACGACGTGGTGGTGGCTCCCGAGCTCATCCGTACGGTGAATTCCGCGAGGATCGCCGTGGTGAGGAGCCGGCTGGTGGTCGTCGTCGCCGCGGCAAGAACGAGGACCGTGACACCGGCAAACCGTCCGGCCGTATTCGCGTGAACGCTGACGGCTCCATCAACATTGTGCGCGAGGACCAAGCTGGAGCGGCTCCGACTTCTGATGGAGCAGCGGGTGAGAGTAAGCCCGCGGAAGCTGTCAAGTCTGAGCCTGCTCCGGCTGCCGAGTAAAGCCTAGCCACCCACCAGCTCGCTAGCAAGCGGTACGAAAGATGTCAACAACCAACGATACGCACACATAGATAGAGAGCCAGGCCAAGACCCCAGCCAGTCGGAAGTCCGTAGTCTGTTCCAATAAGTTACCGCTAATTTGTCGTCGTTACCTCTAGCAACCTGGCTGGAACTTGGCGCTGATAGTTTCACGGCAGTAGGGGCATTCGCCGAATACCGTGTGGAAGGACTGCCGTGACGTTGGCAGCGCGCGCAGCCAGTCAAACAGGCACTTGGCGTGGAATGGTCTGTTGCAGTTTGGGTTTTCACACAGTCGGTTTGGAATCCTCGATCCCTCTTCAGCCACTGCTTTGCGCTGGTTGCCATCCTTGCGTTCTCCCGTGCTCTCATCCTCCCCTTCAAGTCGATACAAGTAGCAGATGCCGCACTCGACTGCAAACTCCTCGGGCTTCGTCGTCTTCGGCGACGGCAGCGCCACCCCCAGCACGTTTTCCAAGTTCTTCTGCAAGGACTTGGTCTCATCCCACCGCGATGCGTTGCTCCCCCACCGTTCCCTCAACGCTCCAACGTTCGCCTGGTTGCCGAAGAAGCTCAGCTCACTCAACATGGCCGTCGGATGTGCAGGGTCCACTTCAAACTGCACGGACGCATGTCGTTCCAGCGCCAACCTTCTCCGTCCCGTGGCCCTCGTCGGATGCTGCGGCTCCAACACACACGTGGCTGCATCCAACACATCTAACACGTCCCAAAATCCCTGAAACTTGGCCAGAAACCCCTCAAACTGCGCCACCACTTCACTCAGCACCGACTGGTTGTCGTCCGGCGGCCACCGCAGCTCGAAAGCCTCCGGAGCGTCCACCAGACACTCCGGCTTGGCTGCCACCCCTGGAGCCTCGTACTCCAATGGCAGCAGCACTCGAACGGCGTGGGTGCGTCCTGCCTGGTCCTTCGTCTCGAGCTCCAGCGAGCGCAAGTCGTTGCTCAGCTGCCGCAGCCTGTTCCAGCCCACAGCGTCCAGCTCCGCCATCAGCCGGGCGTAATACTTGGCGTTGGGTAGTGCGGCTTGGCTGTTGGCCTGTGGCTTGCAGCATAAGGCCACCAGCTCCTCCAGTTCCGTCGCGAAGCCCTCGAGAGACGCCGCCTGCGCCAGTCGCAGCTTGAGCGTGGCGCCGTGTGGCTTCAAGCGAGCCGCCAGCGCGCTCTCCACGTCCAATTGCGCGGCGTCCAAGACGACGCGACTTGTGCGTGGGTCGTACGCAACGTTTGAGACGCGCACGGCGAACTCGTCCCCCGCAACGCGCACGTAGCCGCGGAAGGACGAGTGCTCCGCATTCTCGGGCACGAAATGCATTTTTGCATTTGTGTAGCCATTTCTGCAAATGTAGCCAATTGGCGACCTCGACGGAAACGTTGGCAGGGGCATGCCGAAAAGAAGTCATCGCTTTGGCCGGATTCGAATGCCTTTCGGATCGACAGTTGAAGATTTATTACCCGCTACAATTTCGTCATTTTGGGTCTCACCGTCCAAGCATGGGGAGGAGACGCAGGAAAAGGCAACAAAGAGGACGCACAATGGCGTCCGGTGATGAAAGTTGTGACGGTTGTGGCGGTGGAGGGGCGGGCCGTCGCGCTTCAATATTCGAGAGGACAAGACTCTAAGTGATCTGAAGGAATATGTGCAGGACCGCCACAAGGGGTTTGGATGCCCAATCGATGAGATGGCCCCGTACTTGACCAAGAGGGACGGTAGATGGCTGACACGTGGAGAGTCTGATGTCCAGCAGTTGCTTCGTGGTGGACCAGTTCCTCCTTCCATCAAGGCTCTCATAGTCGAGAGCAATAAGCTCGATCCACGGCGCAGAATTCGCGCGTTCGGCTTTCGCGACCTGGGAGTCCCGTACCCCGACATCCGAGACGTTTATCTGATCTTGGATCGCCCTGAGTATATCAAGAGCAGATACCGTGCCTACCTGGCTCAGCTACGGCTGGAGCGCAGTTTTACTCCAGGTAAGCAAAGCTACACCATCGTAGATGATTATAGACCAACTCGTTGGTGTTTTTTAGCGTGTTGTGTGCAGCCAATAACCTGTGGAGTTAGCGGGTCATATGCGCTAGCGACGTACCGGCGCCCACCCCCAAAGTGACGTCTACGCCTACGAAGACTCCGGCCGCGAAGTAGACATGGGTAAGGCAGTCCTCGGTCGTGTACAGTACCCAGTGAGTCATTCACCCCCGACGTGTTTGGCGGCGGGTGCACGAATGGTGGCGCAGTGCAGCGGGGAAAGAAGCAGTGGATCTGAAATAACTATATGAATGAATGATAATATATAACAGTGAACAAATGAATGGATGAATGAACTTATCCATTACGGCATTGCCTGTGCGTTGCCCTCCTCTCAGTGTGAATGCGTAGCCGTCTCTGTGTGCGTAGTGCATGTTGAAGTTATCTGAGTATACTAAATAGTACTGTAGTATACCGTAGCGTCGTCGTCCACCATGTAATAAAGTACAGTATCTGATACTCGATATCATAGAGTACACTAGATCTGGTATGAGACCTAATATGATCCTTACTGAAACCGATGCAACTAGAGCAACTCCGTGTTCATACTCTACATTTCTTTCGTTTGAATCGTATCCGCAATTTGCTGCACCCACCCACCTCCTCTGCAGCCAAGCTCACATAGCCATCTCACTTAGTCCCTTACAACACAAATACTATCAACCGCACAAGAACCACGAGGACGAGACGTAGTGGCCGATGAAAGCAGTCTTCGGAACCTTATCCGTCACTGCATTGACATCCGCCTCAGTTATTGTAAGCAAAAAACAATAACGCCCTGCTCGAGGCCAAAAGGACTTGAAACCTCCCATTCCTCAGACCGCCCAGTGCCAAGCACCAAGCAACTAAGCAACCAGCCCAGCAAGCCGCAAGGCCACCACAGCCGAGCACAATGAAGCTCCTGCGCCACCTCCTCACTAGCGCTGTCTGCGTCGCAGTCCTCATCTCGGCCTCGACAACATCGTCCGTGGCGGCCCAAGTGGCAGATGATGATGTTTACTCCGGGACGGCGACGACAACGGACAAAGGCGTCTCGACGCTGCTCCGCGGCCCCAACGACAGCGACGACTTTGTCCTCGCCGGTTCGGATGACAGCGACAACGACGATAGCACCGAGGCCGTCCCCTACGACGACATTGACGACGACAATGACGAGGACGACGACGGAATTTCGGACGACGAGTATGTGGCAGCCGACTCCCGCCGCCTGAGGGCAGCAGCAATCACCCCGAAGCCTACGACAGCGCCGCCAAAGGCCACAACCGCGGCGCCGAAGGCCACCACGGCGACGCCCAAAGCCACGACGGCAACGCCCAAGACCACGCCGCCATCACCGACAAAGCCGACGGCGACCAACTCGACGGCAGTGCCGAAGCCAACCAACTCCACGGCGGCTCCGCCCAAACCGACGAACGCCACGGTGCTGCCTACCAACACACCGGCGGCTAGGAAGCCTTCGAACGCGACGGTGAAGGCCACGCCGGCGCCCACCCCCAAAGTGACGTCTACGCCTACGAAGACTCCGGCCGCGAAGTAGACATGGGTAAGGCAGTCCTCGGTCGTGTACAGTACCCAGTGAGTCATTCACCCCCGACGTGTTTGGCGGCGGGTGCACGAATGGTGGCGCAGTGCAGCGGGGAAAGAAGCAGTGGATCTGAAATAACTATATGAATGAATGATAATATATAACAGTGAACAAATGAATGGATGAATGAACTTATCCATTACGGCATTGCCTGTGCGTTGCCCTCCTCTCAGTGTGAATGCGTAGCCGTCTCTGTGTGCGTAGTGCATGTTGAAGTTATCTGAGTATACTAAATAGTACTGTAGTATACCGTAGCGTCGTCGTCCACCATGTAATAAAGTACAGTATCTGATACTCGATATCATAGAGTACACTAGATCTGGTATGAGACCTAATATGATCCTTACTGAAACCGATGCAACTAGAGCAACTCCGTGTTCATACTCTACATTTCTTTCGTTTGAATCGTATCCGCAATTTGCTGCACCCACCCACCTCCTCTGCAGCCAAGCTCACATAGCCATCTCACTTAGTCCCTTACAACACAAATACTATCAACCGCACAAGAACCACGAGGACGAGACGTAGTGGCCGATGAAAGCAGTCTTCGGAACCTTATCCGTCACTGCATTGACATCCGCCTCAGTTATTGTAAGCAAAAAACAATAACGCCCTGCTCGAGGCCAAAAGGACTTGAAACCTCCCATTCCTCAGACCGCCCAGTGCCAAGCACCAAGCAACTAAGCAACCAGCCCAGCAAGCCGCAAGGCCACCACAGCCGAGCACAATGAAGCTCCTGCGCCACCTCCTCACTAGCGCTGTCTGCGTCGCAGTCCTCATCTCGGCCTCGACAACATCGTCCGTGGCGGCCCAAGTGGCAGATGATGATGTTTACTCCGGGACGGCGACGACAACGGACAAAGGCGTCTCGACGCTGCTCCGCGGCCCCAACGACAGCGACGACTTTGTCCTCGCCGGTTCGGATGACAGCGACAACGACGATAGCACCGAGGCCGTCCCCTACGACGACATTGACGACGACAATGACGAGGACGACGACGGAATTTCGGACGACGAGTATGTGGCAGCCGACTCCCGCCGCCTGAGGGCAGCAGCAATCACCCCGAAGCCTACGACAGCGCCGCCAAAGGCCACAACCGCGGCGCCGAAGGCCACCACGGCGACGCCCAAAGCCACGACGGCAACGCCCAAGACCACGCCGCCATCACCGACAAAGCCGACGGCGACCAACTCGACGGCAGTGCCGAAGCCAACCAACTCCACGGCGGCTCCGCCCAAACCGACGAACGCCACGGTGCTGCCTACCAACACACCGGCGGCTAGGAAGCCTTCGAACGCGACGGTGAAGGCCACGCCGGCGCCCACCTCCAAAGTGACGTCTACGCCTACGAAGACTCCGGCCGCGAAGTAGACATGGGTAAGGCAGTCCTCGGTCGTGTACAGTACCCAGTGAGTCATTCACCCCCGACGTGTTTGGCGGCGGGTGCACGCAGTGCAGCGGGGAAAGAAGCAGTGGATCTGAAATAACTATATGAATGAATGATAATATATAACAGTGAACAAATGAATGGATGAATGAACTTATCCATTACGGCATTGCCTGTGCGTTGCCCTCCTCTCAGTGTGAATGCGTAGCCGTCTCTGTGTGCGTAGTGCATGTTGAAGTTATCTGAGTATACTAAATAGTACTGTAGTATACCGTAGCGTCGTCGTCCACCATGTAATAAAGTACAGTATCTGATACTCGATATCATAGAGTACACTAGATCTGGTATGAGACCTAATATGATCCTTACTGAAACCGATGCAACTAGAGCAACTCCGTGTTCATACTCTACATTTCTTTCGTTTGAATCGTATCCGCAATTTGCTGCACCCACCCACCTCCTCTGCAGCCAAGCTCACATAGCCATCTCACTTAGTCCCTTACAACACAAATACTATCAACCGCACAAGAACCACGAGGACGAGACGTAGTGGCCGAACAGTACCCAGTGAGTCATTCACCCCCGACGTGTTTGGCGGCGGGTGCACGAATGGTGGCGCAGTGCAGCGGGGAAAGAAGCAGTGGATCTGAAATAACTATATGAATGAATGATAATATATAACAGTGAACAAATGAATGGATGAATGAACTTATCCATTACGGCATTGCCTGTGCGTTGCCCTCCTCTCAGTGTGAATGCGTAGCCGTCTCTGTGTGCGTAGTGCATATTGAAGTTATCTGAGTATACTAAATAGTACTGTAGTATGCCGTAGCGTCGTCGTCCACCATGTAATAAAGTACAGTATCTGATACTCGATATCATAGAGTACACTAGATCTGGTATGAGACCTAATATGATCCTTACTGAAACCGATGCAACTAGAGCAACTCCGTGTTCATACTCTACATTTCTTTCGTTTGAATCGTATCCGCAATTTGCTGCACCCACCCACCTCCTCTGCAGCCAAGCTCACATAGCCATCTCACTTAGTCCCTTACAACACAAATACTATCAACCGCACAAGAACCACGAGGACGAGACGTAGTGGCCGATGAAAGCAGTCTTCGGAACCTTATCCGTCACTGCATTGACATCCGCCTCAGTTATTGTAAGCAAAAAACAATAACGCCCTGCTCGAGGCCAAAAGGACTTGAAACCTCCCATTCCTCAGACCGCCCAGTGCCAAGCACCAAGCAACTAAGCAACCAGTCCAGCAAGCCGCAAGGCCACCACAGCCGAGCACAATGAAGCTCCTGCGCCACCTCCTCACTAGCGCTGTCTGCGTCGCAGTCCTCATCTCGGCCTCGACAACATCGTCCGTGGCGGCCCAAGTGGCAGATGATGATGTTTACTCCGGGACGGCGACGACAACGGACAAAGGCGTCTCGACGCTGCTCCGCGGCCCCAACGACAGCGACGACTTTGTCCTCGCCGGTTCGGATGACAGCGACAACGACGATAGCACCGAGGCCGTCCCCTACGACGACATTGACGACGACAATGACGAGGACGACGACGGAATTTCGGACGACGAGTATGTGGCAGCCGACTCCCGCCGCCTGAGGGCAGCAGCAATCACCCCGAAGCCTACGACAGCGCCGCCAAAGGCCACAACCGCGGCGCCGAAGGCCACCACGGCGACGCCCAAAGCCACGACGGCAACGCCCAAGACCACGCCGCCATCACCGACAAAGCCGACGGCGACCAACTCGACGGCAGTGCCGAAGCCAACCAACTCCACGGCGGCTCCGCCCAAACCGACGAACGCCACGGTGCTGCCTACCAACACACCGGCGGCTAGGAAGCCTTCGAACGCGACGGTGAAGGCCACGCCGGCGCCCACCCCCAAAGTGACGTCTACGCCTACGAAGACTCCGGCCGCGAAGTAGACATGGGTAAGGCAGTCCTCGGTCGTGTACAGTACCCAGTGAGTCATTCACCCCCGACGTGTTTGGCGGCGGGTGCACGAATGGTGGCGCAGTGCAGCGGGGAAAGAAGCAGTGGATCTGAAATAACTATATGAATGAATGATAATATATAACAGTGAACAAATGAATGGATGAATGAACTTATCCATTACGGCATTGCCTGTGCGTTGCCCTCCTCTCAGTGTGAATGCGTAGCCGTCTCTGTGTGCGTAGTGCATATTGAAGTTATCTGAGTATACTAAATAGTACTGTAGTATGCCGTAGCGTCGTCGTCCACCATGTAATAAAGTACAGTATCTGATACTCGATATCATAGAGTACACTAGATCTGGTATGAGACCTAATATGATCCTTACTGAAACCGATGCAACTAGAGCAACTCCGTGTTCATACTCTACATTTCTTTCGTTTGAATCGTATCCGCAATTTGCTGCACCCACCCACCTCCTCTGCAGCCAAGCTCACATAGCCATCTCACTTAGTCCCTTACAACACAAATACTATCAACCGCACAAGAACCACGAGGACGAGACGTAGTGGCCGATGAAAGCAGTCTTCGGAACCTTATCCGTCACTGCATTGACATCCGCCTCAGTTATTGTAAGCAAAAAACAATAACGCCCTGCTCGAGGCCAAAAGGACTTGAAACCTCCCATTCCTCAGACCGCCCAGTGCCAAGCACCAAGCAACTAAGCAACCAGTCCAGCAAGCCGCAAGGCCACCACAGCCGAGCACAATGAAGCTCCTGCGCCACCTCCTCACTAGCGCTGTCTGCGTCGCAGTCCTCATCTCGGCCTCGACAACATCGTCCGTGGCGGCCCAAGTGGCAGATGATGATGTTTACTCCGGGACGGCGACGACAACGGACAAAGGCGTCTCGACGCTGCTCCGCGGCCCCAACGACAGCGACGACTTTGTCCTCGCCGGTTCGGATGACAGCGACAACGACGATAGCACCGAGGCCGTCCCCTACGACGACATTGACGACGACAATGACGAGGACGACGACGGAATTTCGGACGACGAGTATGTGGCAGCCGACTCCCGCCGCCTGAGGGCAGCAGCAATCACCCCGAAGCCTACGACAGCGCCGCCAAAGGCCACAACCGCGGCGCCGAAGGCCACCACGGCGACGCCCAAAGCCACGACGGCAACGCCCATGACCACGCCGCCATCACCGACAAAGCCGACGGCGACCAACTCGACGGCAGTGCCGAAGCCAACCAACTCCACGGCGGCTCCGCCCAAACCGACGAACGCCACGGTGCTGCCTACCAACACACCGGCGGCTAGGAAGCCTTCGAACGCGACGGTGAAGGCCACGCCGGCGCCCACCCCCAAAGTGACGTCTACGCCTACGAAGACTCCGGCCGCGAAGTAGACATGGGTAAGGCAGTCCTCGGTCGTGTACAGTACCCAGTGAGTCATTCACCCCCGACGTGTTTGGCGGCGGGTGCACGAATGGTGGCGCAGTGCAGCGGGGAAAGAAGCAGTGGATCTGAAATAACTATATGATTGAATGATAATATATAACACTGAGTGAATTGATAGATCTTGCCTGTTAGATATAAGCCGTGTCCTCTAGAGGCCCAGGCGGTCTAGTACATCGACCAATGTATCCTCACGTTTGATGTTCGCGATTTTTTCGCAGCTAGCGACCCACGCAGTGAAGAGCGTTTTGGCTGCTGCATCGTCGCACTTGTGGCCCATGGAGTGGCAGAAGGAGTCCACCGACGTGACAAAGAAAACTGCTGAAGGGCCCAAGTGAGGAATCGGGTTGTACACGTGCAGATTCTTCACCGCCAGCTTGCTCTGGTTACCATACTCTGAGGCTAGCGACAATTCCTTTGAGTAAGGGTAACGCCCGACATTGGAGATGTTGGCATCCGACGTCTGCGAGTGGCGGATGTTGATGTAGTTTGCGAGCGAGGGCTTGATCTTGGCATTGATCTTTTGGTCCAAGACGACAGCCACCGCGTCCATCGAGAAAGTGCTACGGAGATTTCCGTCGATCTCCTTCTTGGCCCGACGCGCGAGGTCCCAGAACTGGGTGGTCTTCACGTCGACACCTTCAGAGCAGGGCCTCCGAAAATAGCATTGTCAATAACATTATTTCAGAAAATAACAATAAATTACGCATTTCGGCGGGTTCAGCCATCTACCGTGATAATTTATTGGTGTGCTTTGTGATATTACATAATTTATGACAGTTACCTTTATATAATAATGTTAGTGTTTTACCAGCCATCTTCTCGCTTCCAGTCGTTCAGAAGAACTGGAATCACTGGTTGTCTGTGTTGCTAGTTGCAGCTCATTTGGCAGCGCTCACTTTTCAATTTTCACTTCTCAATCCTCCAAGACCTCATCCAGCATGGTTCGCGCTATCCGCCCCCCCTCGCCCTACCTACACGAACTCCCAAGTCTCGGGGTTTTACTTCCGCCCGTGTCGCGACGAGAACGACGAGGTGATTCTCGAGTATTTCCGTTGCCGTTGCGGCACGGTTCGGAAGCAAACCCATAGGAACGGGTACTCCAACCTGATGCAACATATAAGGCGGGAACACCCTGACTACGAGACCGTCATGCTCGACGCTACGACGGCGGAGACAGGCTCCCTCGTGAACTTCGTCCGCCACTCGGCGCTCAACCTCCACGGCTGGATGGTTTGGATTGTCATGTGCAACCTGCCACTCTCTTTTTGTGAGAGCCGAGAAGCTCGGCGGTACGTGTATGCATAAGGTCATTGTGTTTACATTACTACGGAAACTAACAACTTTACTATATGGATGTTATTCAGCTACTCCAGCCTGGACCCCATCTCGGAGGAAACGCTGCGGGCTGGCATGGACGGTGTCGTCGTCGCCGTCGAGCGTTCGATTGCGTCGGAGCTCCCAGCACGCTTCGGCATCATACTCGACGGCTGGGCACACGCATCTGAGCACTACATCGCCGTGTTCGCGTGCTATGAAGTGAACGGCTGTCCCAAGACAACGCTACTCAGCATGGCCCCGCTGCTGGACGCGCTGGACGACGATCTCTCCGCACAGGGCCATCTCGAGTTTCTAGCGACCATGCTGCAGCGCGATTACGGCGTACAGCTGGCGCAGTGTCGCTTCCTCGTAGCTGACAACTGCGCCGTAGACCGGCGGCTGGCAACTCTTATGAGTGTGCCGCTTGTTGGTTGCGCAAGCCACCGCCTGAACCTTGCTGTTTAGGCGGACATGGCGTCGCATGAGGAGGACCTGGCTGCTGTGCAGGCGCTCATGGTAAAATTGCGTACTCTCACCCAATCTGCCAAACTACGGTGAGCGCCAATGTGTATGTGTGGTGTGTCAATATGTCTCTAACACAATTTGTGTACTTTTGTAAAAAAATTTACAAAATAGGTTGAAAACGCCACTTCGGCCTGTCATTCGCCAGGACACGCGCTGGAGCTCTACGTTCGAGATGGTACGGCGCTACCTCCAGCTCCTCGAGTTTCTTGACGCCGAAGACGACGACCTCATGGACCTGCTGCCGCCGCCGGCGATAAACAAGCGACTGCGGGCATTGTACCAGGAACTGTGCGACATCGAGTCGGCTCGAAGGCCCTTCAAGGCCACGACGTCGACCTGCTGGACGTTCGCGAGTGGTTCGACGAGCTGATCGCTGTCAAGACACAATATGGGTGCTACATTGGTAAGTTTATAACTGTTGAATTTGTGTTTAATATTTTCACTAACAATTGTATAATGGTTTTTATTTTGCGGGGCCTCGGGCCAACATTGTGCACAGCCCAGATTTTGAGGCTGGGTGTGTACGCGTTCTCCGCGGGAAGGCGCAGCGGCTGACGCGTGCTGAAAAGGCCGCTTTGCAGCCCTTCGAAGCTGCCAGACCGGACGACGCGGCCGCGAGTGAGGAGGAGGAGGATCCAGGCGCGTCGTTCGTGGAGCGTCTTCGGAAGCGCCGGCGGCTTGCACAGGACCGTGTCAAGTATGAGCAGCTGAAGAGCATCCCACCCACGTCGAGCGTGGTGGAACGCTTCTTCAGCATTGCTCGGGTGACGTTTGGTCATCAACGACACGGCCTGCTGCCACGCACGCTTGAGACGATTTTGTTTCTCCGCCAGAATCGGTCGTACTGGGATGCAACGACTGTGGACAATTTGAGCTAGATGATAAGCTAACTGGTGTCTTGTTAATAGACTTCATGTTTTTCATAATGGCATTATTTATTGTGGTACGTTGGGGGCAATGCCATAATGTACTGTTGTATTGGTAGGAGCGTCAGGGGATAATTTATTCAGCAACGCCCAACCTACTAAATAAAAATGCCATATTCGGAGGCCCTGCTTCAGAGGCGAGCCACGCGAGGTCAGTGGAAGCAATGTACACTCCGACTTGGTTCTCTTCAATTGGGCAGGGCAGGCGTTGACGCATGTTGAAGTCCAAATCTGCCTGGACCTTGAATGGCTGGCCGGGTTTGAAGTCCGGCTGCTCCTCGGCGGCACGGTAGAACGCGAGGGTGACCGCAGCCACCAGCGCCCCACCAAAGGTGGCACCATGCTCTCGGCACGCTGCTAGCGCCTCCCGTATTCTAGCAGGCTCTCCTTGAGCAAAAGACGCTGAACTCGGGTTTGCGACTGGAGGGGCGACAAAGTCGTGCTGGTCGTCTCGCGCTGGTAGCACAGGCTTAAACTTCCTGAGCTCGCCACGGTAGATCGTCGCTCCGAGAAATGCCATGAGGCCCTTCAGCAGTGCTGTGTACAGTACGTTCTTGGACAACCACATCTCGTAAAATGAAGGGCGAAGTGGCAATTCCTCCGCTTGGTTATCTGCTGCATTGCTGTCAGATAGAGCAGATACTTGTTCGAGGATGCAGTTCAGCACCGCCATACCCGATCGCCCGTCCGACATGTAGTGGTCGGAGAAGAGCATCAGGCGAGCTTGTTCCGCCTCGTGGTCGATCCACACGACCAGGAAGAACGGGAACTGCGTGTACCGGTCGAACCCCACGTCGCATTCCGCTTCAGCGTACGCCTGCCAGTCCTCGAACGTTCCTTCAGGGCTCTCGGACTGCGAGAACCTTCGGACTCGCAGCAGATCCTTGCTGGCGATGTCGTCGATAGTCACGGGGGCTTGGATCTCGGCCGTAAGGTCCTCGTCCTTCACTTGCAGCGCGCGCATACACGGGTGCATGTTGAAGGTCCGCAAGAGTGCGACCGGCAGAAATTGCAACAGGGTTTCGGCATCTCCGGCAACGAGCATCGAGTGCACGATCTTCATGGAGACGCCATCGACCATGGTGAGCATCCGCTCGACGCCGCGCAGCATTACTCGCCGTGCTTCAGCGCTACCTGCCATTTCTCCGCGAATCCAATTGCGTCCGTCGGTCGGTGGTGTCGGGCGAATTCGAGAATGAGAGCGGCGAGGGCGGGCGGCAAGAGGGAGGTACATGTACTCTACTATGTGACATAGTAGACTCTACTGTAGAGTACATGTACGGAGCTGTTGAGGATTTGTACGCGATACTGTACAGTATATGTATGTAGAGTAGACATACAGTAGTCTATGTCAACTCTACCTATCGCGTGCAAATCCTCAACAGCTCCGCTCCCACTGGTGGTCAATTGCATCGCCAATCATCGTCTATGCTTGAAGTCTTTGAGGTCAAAGGTCGTCATTCTTGCTCGGCGCAAGCTCTTGACGTGAAGTACATGTAGGGAATCGTGGTGGTGCAGCTTCGACTGATATGCACGCCTCACCACATGCATGTACATGTACTGCAAACCAAGCTTGAAGCCCTTGAAAGCAACAGCAGACAACTGCATGACCGACCGCATCATCACCGTGTAATTATCACCGCGCTGCGTAATCCCCGCATCAACAGCGGCGCCAAGGATTTGTGCTGTACTGTGGCTGCTGGCCATGCGCATGCTGAAGGATATTTATCACTACTGACCTTGATTTCGTCGTACTTTATCAGTAGTGACCTTGATTTCAGAAGACGACTGCTGATTGGTCGAACGCCACTGCTGTCTTATCGAGAGTTCTGCGCTCAGAGACCAGTTGCTTTCCTTCGCGCTATCGCCTTCCACGTCTAGCTGCCGCCTCGCTGCCGTCTAGCTGGTTACTGCTGTGTTGCGCAGGTGTAGTGTCTTTGTAGCCTAGTCACTTCATGACAGTGTTCTAATGTTTTTTACATCTCTCTTGTTCTGGATGTGTCTTAGCAATGCGCTGCCACGAAGCGTTTTGGGCTATTGTGACTGTACACGGTTCGCCACACGCGAAGGAACCCGTGAATACACGCCATGATGACTTGAAGAAAACGAACCTGTGGCTAATACAGGCGCTAGCACAACATGGTAGGCAGCTCTATCACAACATGGTAGGCAGTTCTATGGGCGGCTCTAGCATAATATGGTAAGCGACCAAGGCACATCAAGGTAGGCCGCCAAGGCACATCATGGTAGGCCGCCGAGGCACAATATGGTAGGCGGCGAGGTACAACATGGTAGGCAGCGCTAGCACAACATGGTAGGCAGTCCTATAGGCGGCTCTAGCGTGACATGGTAGTCCGCCCAACGTTTACCATGGCAGGCATCATTTGGAATAAACGAATTTGTACAGGGCTTAAGTTGTTTTTTCTCTTATTTTTTTATACGCTTCTTGTGTAAACTTGGCTTCACATTTTGGTAGAAGTACAATTTAGTAGAGCACGTTTTGACAATTTATGACTACATAATCGTTACCTGAAGATTATCGCACGCACCTCTCTCATTGGCCGAAATTCGAAATCATGGTCACTACTGATAAAGTACGACGAAATCAAGGTCAGTAGTGATAAATATCCCATGCTGAGAGCTCTTGTAAAACTCTTCTTGTCACTTCACACTCTACAAGTATATCCGGATAGCACTCAAAAGCGCGCAGTGCGTCACTTATTAGACTTATTAGACTTAATTGACTCAACAAATACCGATACTTCTCGTCTTGTCTAATATCTAATAAATTCCGGAGCATTCAAGCCTTGGCAAGTGGCTTTACATTTGTTGGCTGCACCTTCAAGTTAAGCCCGGCTCATCCGAGGTGGTTAGAGCACCTTTAATGCGACAGCACAACAGCACCGTTAATGGCGCCCAAGGCGCCATTAGTAAAGCCGCTGGTCTTCAGGTAGGAGGGGAATATATAGACTGTTGCCTCAGCTTTCCAAAGTCCGAAACGGGCGCTAACTTTGACTCTACGCAACACGTAAGCCTACACCTGGACAAACTTTTGGTACTGCCTACTTCATAGAGGTATGTTAGAGCTATCGAACGCACTAGCTTGCATCGGCGGAGTGTAAGTGGGCACTTAGCAGGACCCCCGCCTCCTCAGGGACTCCTTCGGGGTGCACATTTCCAAAGCCATCAGGCCTGGAGGTCATCCCTCCTACATAAGGGCGCCCTAGTAATCTGTGCAAAGTCTGTGTACAGAAGCAAATCTTTACACAGATCAGAATAATAAGGGATTTGTATTGACAGATAGAATCGGGACGGGTGTCATGGGCTCATCTGTTCGCGTTGTGAGCTGTTGTGAGGACACGTTGCCACAGCAAGCAAACCTGCGCGGAGTGCTCGTAAAGCAGGTCTGCGCGGTAGGCCCTGCACCAGGCATTCCAGCGGATGGACCCGTTTCCGCAACTCGATGCTAGTTTTCTAATTGTGGGGGTCTGCTCCAGTACACTGCAGCACCCCAGATTCACCCCCTCTTTTTGGCTTAAAGGCGCCGTAGGGCTTAAAGGCGCTTTAGGCAGATGTTGTGCCGTTGCATTAATGGTGCTGTAACGCGAGTCCGGCTCATCAGCGTTTCGTCAGGTTCCAGTCAACTTTGTATCCGTGGCCCGTGACTCCACACATGTGAGTCATTCAACATTTCGCCGCTGTCAGGAACAGGGCTTCGCATTAAGTGCCTTCCGAGCTATAACACTACCGATCATACAGATGGATGCACTGCAGTAACACTGTAGCATATAGATAGAAATGAGCAAGTGTATGTAGTAATACTGAACTACAGTAGTAGATACAGCAGTAATCTAGTGGAGTTGCTGGCGTTGAAGCAGGTTCTTGTAATCCGCCCAGTTTGCCTTCATTAGGCACAGTATCTCGGCGCGTTTGTCGTCAAGAGATGTACGTAGATCATTGACGACGTAGCCTGACAGGCTAAAAAACCTTTCTTGGGCTGCTGTGGACATCGGCTTGCCTAAATAAATTCTAGCGAGGAGTGCAATAGCCGGGAGATCGCGTTCTCCATGGTCGCGGAACCAATCCAGTACGTCAACGCACAAACCCAACAGTTGAACTTGCCATCCCGAGATTGGCTGGGCCAATTCACTGACAGTTCCTTCCAATCTGACCACGCCAATGCCGCTGCCTTGGAGCGCTCACGACTCGCCGTGCTACGTTCCGAAGGCATATCAATGTCCAAAAGAGCTTGGATAGCGATACTAGCGTCCTGGCTACCACTAAACGGGTGTTACGGAAAATTAAAACCCCTCTCAAAAGTACTGGGTGCGTTGGTCGAGGAATTCTTGGCCTTTTGCAGATTGTAGATATGCTCGTGTTTATGCTCTAATTCATGCTCGACTCGAGCGAAGCGCGGAGCGTCATCGACAATAGAGTCCGCTTTAGACTTGATTCTGGGGTCTAGAAGCAATGCCTTGATCTCGTGGTCCTCTGGCTCTGGGAAGCGTAGTTTCCACTGCTCTTTGATTCGCAAAAGACACCGTTTTCCTTCATCCGAAAAGTTGGACACTTCTTTCAAAACACGGCGCTGAGTGAACTCGCTACACAACGTGTCCCGAGTAGGAACGGTCACCACCGTTCCTACTACACGGACGACCGTTCGACCAGCTATTGACTTCTAGGGGATCAGCTGTTGGACGATGCGGTGAGCGGGCAGTCATCCATTTCGGAGGGGCGCTGACTGGCGACGCGTCGGTTAGGTGGCGCGCTCGGCTGCGATGGAAGCAGTGACGCGAGGGATGGGTGAGCAGTGACGCGAAGGGCAGGACGGAGGTCACGAGCACCGCGTGGCTCAGGACGTGAGCTGTGAGGTGAGCCAAGGACGAAGGGGTGAGACGAGAGCCAGGTGAGCCGGTGACGTGTTGAAGTCGGCACGTGAGCCGACAGAGAGCCGAAAGAAGAAGGAAGCACGAGCTGTCAGGCTCCGTGCGCGGTAAGGAAGTAGGGTCAGTTGTGAATCTGCACTGGAGAGAACAAGTTGATTGCTTTTGCATATTGACTCTGTTTCTCGCTATTTGTGCCACTGCCTACCGTTGTGAAGTCTTAACGACGGCAGTACGGGTCAAGTCCTCGCGTCGTTGGAGCTTCGTCTGGTCTTCGGGAGTCTGCCTGGAGTCCCAGTCTTCGCCTCAGACGCGTGAACGGTCTGAATCTGGAATTGTGTCGTGTGAACGGTGCGCTCGGCGCCACTGTGGGATTGGAGAACGGTACGCGAAGTCCCCCCACTGGTCAAGGTCAAGAAGGGCAAGAAGAAAACGGTCGGCTCGCTCGGAGCCCTTATCGGTCAAGGTCAATGTCAAGTCAACGGTGAACGGAACGCTCGGTTCCGCTGGTAATTCTGGTCGGCTCGCTCGGAGCCTGAAGTAGTTTGAAGCCTGGAAGTTTGAAGTTTGGAGATTGGAGATTGGAGTTTGTTTCGCGCGTTCGAGTGAAGAAGATCGCGTGCTGAAGGTCGAGTGAAGAAGACTTTCTGAAGAAGATGACGGTTGTCGGAGAGCAAGGAGAGAATGGGGATCAGCGGTCCGTGCAGGATGAAGTGGCACGGTTGGAAGTGGAACGGTTGCGACGGCTGCAACACGGTGGGACCACGTCGGCTCTACTGGGGCAGCGACGCCCGCGATCGTCCGGAGATGCGAGCGGAGTGGACGCGACGGCGCAGGTAGCTACTGCTGCCGGTCGTGACTCGCTTCGCCAGGAAACGAGGGAGGCTCTTTGGGCCGATGAAGACGATGATGAACACAAGACCGCAGATGAACACGGTGATGCGGTCGGAGCTCAAGCAGAACAAGAACTCGAGATGAGGATGGCTCCATCACCGGGCCCCGAGGCTGTGCAAACGGTCGAGGAAAACGGTGAGGATGCCGAATTTGATGAAACGGAACAGTACTGGTCGGCGGAGGACTACGGCTACAGTGAACTTGCTGAGTACGAACCGTCCTATACGTGAAAGAAGAACCTGAAGAAGTGCGGCAGCAGAGGACCCCGAGTGGCTTCATCTCGGTGTACACGGGAACGGAGAAGCGTCTGCCTGGCGGTCTTGTGTTTGGCTGGAGCGTCGGTGCCCAGCAAGGAGGCTACGGTGGCTGGGGAACGGTGCCGAAGCCCACGGTGAAGATGGAACGGAAGGTGAAAATGGAGCCTACAGTGAAGCCCCAACCTATGAGACCGGTGAAGACCCAACCGACGGGACCGGTGAAGACAGTCGTGCACAACAAAGCACCTGTCAGAACTGCGGTGAGTGCCTCAACGAACGGACGGCCGATGCCTACCCAAGTTCGGAACGGTGGCTATCGTGCCCCCATGAACAACCCGACCGTTCGAAACGACCGTGACTTGTCGTCTATGGTCTCCAATGCGATCAAGGTCCTACCTGCTTTCTACTCGGACACGGCCAGCATGGACAAGGCGCGTGACTTCTGGGAGCTGTTCGAAGCTCACACCAGCCACCTCCCGGACCAGTCTCGGCTGTTAGTGTTCCGACAACGGATCAAGGGCTCTGAAGCTGAACGGTGGTGGAACAACTCGACTATCAAGACGTTCGCGACTCTGAAGGTCCGATTCCACAACCTGTTCCTCAGCCGAACGGCTGACCAGCCCTGGGAACGGTTGCAGTCCGCTCACCATGAGCGTGGCGAATCCGTTGAGGAGTGGTGTGACCGTGTGACGGATCTTTGTGACTCGTTGGACTATCCGAACAGGAAGATGAGCTATCAGCTGTTCCGTCGCGGACTCCGAAACAAGCGCATATTGGCGTGTCTCGACTCGGGACCGGCGCGCGATATTCCGGAGGCCTGCGAATGGCTATTGGCTAAGGAGATGTCGCGTTCCATTGAAGAAGACGACGAGTTCTCGGACGAGAAGAAAAAGTCGAGCGGGAGCGATGCCTCGCCCGCGAACGACCCGATGGCGGCTGTGGGCGTGCTTGCAGAGAAGATGACGACGTTCATGACGTAACAGCAGTGGCAGCAGCAAATGATGCAGAACCGCTGGCAGCCTCCGCGCTCGCCGCGGAACCGCATGTCCAACGTTTCGGCTACGACTTCGAGTCCTGGCGCTGGAATGAACGATCAAGGTCCTCGTGGGAACGGTTGACCGGTCCGAGGAATCCGTATGGGAGCTGACAGTCGAACGCAAGAGTGTGGCCGGAGTGGCTACGTGGGTCACTCGCGAGAGACCTGCTGCCGCCAGTCCATGACGTGCCACAACTGTGGTGTTCACGGTCATATCGCTGTGGAGTGTGAAGCGGGACCCAACAACTACCAACGCGGTCCGGGAACGGTCGGCCGGAACGGTGGTCGTGGCGTTACCAAGTGCGCGTTCTGCGAGGAAGAAGGTCACCTTATCGGTGCGTGTCCTGGCATTGTGGCACTCCGTGGTGCGGTTCAGGATCTGAAGACCAGGTCTGCACAAACGGCTTCGAACCAATGACGGGGGCGGGAGGAAGGGGAGGAGACAGTCACTCCTTCCTCTTGTCTAGTAAATGGCTCGAGTGGTGGTGATCGCGACCGTGAAGCTGAAGGCGGAACGGTGACCACCGTTGATGTTTGTGTGGGTGCATCGAGGAAGCAGACCGAACCGGTGTCTGCCATGTGTGGCGATTCATGTGCTGAGAAGAAAAACAAGAAAAAGAAAGTCGGGTTCAAGATCGTGGGGACGGATGAAGAAGGAGAAGGATTGGTTGCGGACGTTGAAGGCAAGGAAGTCGAAGTGGTCTACGAAGATCTGGTCGCTGCGAGTCCTGAACGGTGTGATGAGGTTGGGAACGGTGAGGAGACAACGGTCACGGGGCTGTCTGAGGATTGCACAGTGTCGGAGCCTCCTACCGTGACGCGTGAAGAACTAAGTACCGTGGTTGAAGTGACGCCGCCGGAAGAGGTGATGGCGCCCCTAGAAGTGTGGGAAGACGAAGAGTACGACGTATCGGACTGCTTGTTCGCGGCTTGAACGGATGAAGAGACCGTTCTTGCTGAGAGCAAGGAAGTGAACAGTACGGTCGAGGCCAGGACGGTCGAAACCGAAACGGTTGAGGCTAAGGACACTGCGAAGTACGACCGTTTATTTACGGACGAAGAACTGGATGCTATGGATGACTGTGAGCCCGGGCAGGAGACGTATGTTGTCGCTGGAACGGATGTCGCCGCCGAGCCGGAAGAGTACGACAAGGAGCTTGAGGACCGGTTGTATCCGCTGGACGAGGTCGAGTTGCTTAAGCGTGTCAAGCAGAACGTTGAAGCTCAGACCGAACCGTCTGCGGAAGAGCTGGCTCGCTTCTTGGGTATCTCTCTGGAGGTCTTGGAGCGGACGCGCCAAGCTGCCTCCGACTCCTTTGGAACGCCTTAGTACTGGCAAGATTGGTACGGTGATATGCTGGAGAAGTCGGAAGAAGCCAAGCGTGCGAACCGAGACTTCTGGACTCCGGTGGCGAATGTCGTCTATGGTGAACAAACTGCGTCAAGTGGAACGGTGGGGAAGGCCTCGGAGCGGTCAGGCGTCGACAACGATACCCGCAGCTCTGATGTCTCCTCCGAACGATCGGATTCTGAAGATGAAACGGTCTCAAGCGTGGTTAACACGGTCGTCGAGTCTTTCGTGTGCGAGAATGTCTTGCGCCCTCCCGAGGATCTGGGAGGAACGGTCTCGGTGGGGGAAGGGATTCCTGTCCTAAGTGGAGTACATCGCGTCGATCCAAAGATCAAGAGAGCGATCGCGCGTCAAGCTGTGTTCCAATTGCTGAAGGAAGCGAGAGACTACGGAGTTCGAAACAACGGTTCTGAAGAAGTGCTGAACGGTGAAGGAGGAACGGTGGATGTTCCCCCTTTGCGTGACAAGGTGCCTGATCCCGATTGGGAACGGCTACGCGAGCACGTCAACCGTGTTGTGGAGCAGTATGGTCTGAAGGGAGATTGCTGGGGACGGTTCGAACCGTGTATCAAGTCGTATTTCGAGGAAAACGCGGGTCGAGTGTGGACGAAACTGTGGGACCGTACAGGACGGTCGAGGGCGCCTAGTGCTAGGCGCCGCCGTCGCCGTCAGCCTGAGAAGAAGGGTTGCTTTGACTTTTCGGCGTTGTACAAACCGTATGCCGAAGTACTGGGTGACGTGGAGTTCTACCCGGAGCGTGAAGAGGACATTTCTCATTACGTTGAGGTGGTACGGTGCGAGCGTCCTGCTCGGACACCGTTACCAAGGACCGGTCTCGTGGAGGTTGTCATGGTCAACTTGCCTAACGGATTTGGGCTCTGTGATGAAGATGGAGATGAGTATGACGTGTATCGCGCTGTTGAGGACGGACGCCGGGTGGTGTGTGCTGTTGGCAACTTTGAGGCTCTCTCGAGCGGTAATATTGACTGCTTACCGTCTCAAATGCTAGCGGATACTGGCGCTACTCTAAGTCTCGTGGATCGACGCGTGCTGAAGCGTTTAGGACGGTCGTCCGAGCCGCTGGAACCGTACGAGGGCCTGGTGAGGAGCTCCTCGGGGCACAAGTTGCGGATACGTGGTTGGATTACCCTCTCTCTCCGTCTTGGAACGGTTGAAGTCTCGATGAGCTTGTTGGTTGCTGACCGTCTCCACGTCGATGCGATCCTGGGTGTTGATGCCCAGGGAGCGTTCGGCGCTGTGATCGACGTGTCGAAACGGACGTTGACTCTAAAGAGTACGGGCGAAGTGCTGGCGCTAGGTTTCACCATGTTGCAGGAGTCGTACATGACGACGATGGCGACGACGGTGCGGTTGCCGCCGCGTGGCCAAGCTCTCGTGATGACTCGTGTCGTGGGTGCCGTCGTCGAAAAGGCGACCGTTCTGGTCGAAGGAGCTTTGGGTCTGTCTCCGACGCTGTGCGTGGCACGGGCGCTGTGCACGGTCGAGGAAGCCCAGGTCATCGTCGAAGTCTGTAATGCGTCTACGGATGAGTACTGGATCCGGAAAGGAACGGTCATTGCGTGCACTTCCGTGATCCCGGAGTCGGCTTTCGAGCCGCCAACGGTCGATCCAAAGGGTGCGGAGCGTCAAACGGGTGGTCCGATGGGAACGGTGCCAGCCGAAGGTGGCGAGCCCAAGGGGGAGCGCGCAACGTCAGTGTCTGAAGCGCGCGAAGTGGGCGTCGGCGAGAAGGTGAAGGCTACGAAGCCGGACATCCCGCCCGACAAAGCGGAAGCTATGAAGGCCGATTTCTCGGAGTCTAGACTGTCACCGGAGCAGAAGGAACTGTTCCAAGGAGAACTGAACGGTTTCCACAGCATTTGTGGACTCTTCTAAGAAGCCTGGACGGACGGATCTGTTGCAATTCGAGATCGACACCGGTGACAGTGCTCCGATCAAGCAGCAGCCGTACCGTGTTTCGTTAGCTGAAGGTGAAGTCATGGAAGCGGAGATCCAGCAGTACTTGAAGCTGAACCTGATTCCACCCTCGAACAGTCCGTGGGCGAGCCCCGTCCTGATGATTCGGAAACCGGACGGTGGAATAAGATTCTGCATCGACCACCGTAAGTAGAACGCGGTAACGGTGCAGGACGGTTACCCCATGCCGTTGATTGATGATATTCTGGACGTGTTGGGCGACGCTCAACTGTTTTCGACGATTGATATCGCTTCTGGCTATTGGAACGTGCCGATGCACCTGGACAGCGTGTCTAAGACCGCTTTCACGTGCAAGTACGGTCTGTACGAATGGTTAGTGATGCCGTTTGGCCTTTGCAACGCTGTCCCAGCGTTCGAACGGTTGATGGAGACCGTTTTGGTGGATCTCAAGTGGCGAATCTGTTTGGTTTATCTCGATGACTGTGTGATTTTCAGCAAGGACTTCCCTACTCATCTGGTTCGTGTGCGCCAAGTGCTGGCACGGTTCCAGCAGGCTGGGTTCAAGCTCAAGATGAAGAAGTGTCACTGCGGGCGTAGTCAAGTAGCGTTCCTGGGCACATTGTGACTCCTACTGGAATCCTGCCTAATCCGGAGAAGGTGAAGGCCGTGATGAACGTGAAGCGTCCGGTGGACGTGCATGGGATCCGCTCTTTTCTGGGTCTGACGAGTTACTTCCGCCGCTACATCCCGGGGTATGCGTCGATCTCCGCGCCCCTGGAACGGTTGAAGGTGAAGGACGCACCGTTCGTGTGGAACGAGGACTGTGAAGCTGCGTTTAGACAGTTGAAGCGTGCGCTCTTGAAGCCGCCGATACTAGTCTATCCTGATGGCAAGAAACGGTTTAAGTTGTACGTAGACTCGTCACGGTACGCTGTTGGCGCTTGCTTGATGCAAGAGGCGAACGGTCGCGACCGTGTAGTGGCCTACGCTAGTAAGTTGTTGACTGGATCGCAGAAGAACTGGATTAACAACCTAGATGGCATATCGGAGATTAAATGTTGGGGGGTTGTCTGGGCAACGAGGAAGTTCCGCTGCTACCTGGACAAGCGTGAGTTCGATTTGTACACGGACCACCAGGCGCTGACGTGGGTGTTCAGCCCCGGTAACCGTACGACGAACGCTAAGCTTGCACGGTGGGCGATGGAGCTCTCGAACCTCCAGTTCAAAGTTCATCACAAGCCTGGTACTTCTTTGGGTCATGCTGACGGTCTGTCACGGTTGCCGATGGACACAGTGGCAGCTCTGACGATGAGCGACCTCTTGAATCCTGAGAGCACGGTCGATGACGTGCTTCCGGCTTCAGTCGGGGAGCAGCCTGGTACAAACGGTGAACTTGCGAACGGTGACGATGTTGCTGGCGAGCGTGCAGATGGACATGTGGATGATGACGAACCTGACCGTCCGAACGAGGACGTTGGCATCGGTCCGGAAACGGATGTGCCGATATCCCCTGTGGACCGGTTCGGATTCGACTCTGAACAGTTCGTAGAAGCGCAGCAAGAAGTGCCGTGGATCAAGGCTCTGGTGGCTTTCCTGCTGGATGGTGCCTTGCCCCTCGACCCCTTCCTGCGAGCGACTGTTGTCAAGATGGGACGTCGATATGAAGTGCGGAACGGTTTATTGATGTGGCGCGTGATTCTACCAGCCCGGGTCGGACCTGCACGGTCCTTGACCGTTCCGGTGGTTCCGTTACCGTATGTGGAGACCGTGTTGCACTACTGTCACTCTGACGTTCTGCCGTCTCACTTGGGATTGACGAAGACTCTGGAGAAGGTGAGGAGACATGCGTTCTGGCCGGGATGGCGAAAGGATGTCACGGAGTACGTCCGGGAGTGCAACCGTTGTGGTAGTGGGAAGGGCTCGAGACCGTGGCAAGGGGGGCAGATGCAACGGTTGCCCGTAGCCGATCTCACGGGACCGTTTTCGCTGCTAGTGGTCGATGCCGTCGGACCGTTGCCGGAGACTGAACGAGGCAACAAGTACATTCTTGTATTCGTGGACTACTTCACGAGATGGGCCGAAGCCTTCGCAGTTCTCCGTTTGGACTCCGTCACGTTCGTTGACGTCATGGTGAACGGTGTTGCGTCCCGGCACGGTGTGCCTTCACGGTTGTTGAGTGACAACGGTCGGAATTCACGCCGGAAATCGCTAAGTCGTTCTATCAAACGCTCGGGATCAAGAAGCTGTTCGGTTCTGCCTATCACCCGCAGACTCAAGGTCTCGTGGAACGGTTCAACGGAACGCTCATGGGAATGGTCAAGATGCACGTGAGTGAAGCGCAAACGGACTGGGATCTGTATTTGCCTCGAGTGTTGTTTGCCTACCGTACGTCTTATCATGAGGCGTTGGGCGACACACCGTTCTTTTCTCTCTACGGACCTTTTCTCTCTACGGACGTGATGCGACGCTACCGCTGGACGTCGCGTTCCTGAACCTGGGGAAGAAGTGGAAGAGCAACGAAGTGGCTCTGTATCGACGGGAGTTATACCGGTTGCTGCGGGATTCTCGTCATCTGGTCGAGCGTCAACTGGTGAAGGCTCAAGATCGTCATGAAAAACGGTTGGGGGACCGTGTAGCCGTGGAGTACGAGGTTGGAGACCCGGTGTGGGTGTATCAACTGTTCCGGAAGAAGCGAGGGGAGGCTCGGACGAAGAAGCTAGCGTTCGCGTGGCACGGTCCTTACCGAGTTGTGGCGAAAGTGGGCGATAATGCGTACCGGATTGACATCCCGTCGCATCCTGACAAGGTGGTCACGGTCAATGTGAACCATTTGAAGAAGTTTCGTGGCAAGTGGACACGGCCGTACATGGATGACGTGCCGGACGGTGTCGAAAACGGTGAAGGAGACGCGGATGTAGGACCTCTAGAGGAGTCCGATCTCCCAGCGTCAAGTTTCACGGAACGGCTGACCGTTGGCAGGGAGACACGGTCCTCACTGGTGTCGACTCGCCGTTGTTAGCAGTGTGTGGGAAACGAACGGTGGACCGTTCTGTGGAGTACCTGGTGTTGGTTGCGAATTATGAAACGTTTTGGGTGCCTCGGGCAGAGTTGATGCCTGAGTATGAGCCCCTAGTGACGGCTTTTGAACAAGCCCAGAGGAAGAAGTTGCGGCTGCCCGAGTTGCGTCGAAGCTCGCGGCTGGCCGATGCCAACGAAGAAGTGGAGGATGATGACCTGCTGATGGCGTAGCACGGTCAACCGTGGGAGCGTTTGTGTTTTGGAGAAACGGTCGTGGAGTGATGTTATGAACGGTGGAACTACAAGACTCAAGAACGGAACGAGTGGAAAACGGTTTGCATGTTGTTATTGAGATTAATTGGAGGGACGCACGGAGTAATACGGAAAGAATGAACGGTCAGGAGCGTCCCTGATTCACGGAGAACTACTTGGAGCTCGAAGCGTCGGAGCTCTTCTTCTTGGAGTTGCCCTTGGCCGACGAGTCGCCCTTGTCGTCGCCAGAGCTGCTCTTCTTGTCGTCCTCGGGAGCGTCGTGGGTGTCCGAGCCGCGGCCGCCTTCGTCGTCTTCGGCTTGGTCGTCTTGATCGGCGTCGTCCTGCTCTTGGTCGTCGGGCTCGTCTTCCTGCGTGGGGCTCGACGTGGACGGCTTGTCCTCGGACTCGTCGTCTTCGACGTCTTCGAGCTCCTCGTCGACGGGCGGTGACGGCGGCTGCACGGTGTACGTGTCGTCGTCATCGGCGTAGTCCGAGTCGTTGTCGCCCTGCTCCTTGCGCTGGAACGGCTTCAAGTCCATGACGACCCTGTACGTGCCCTCCTTGAGCTGCTTGGCGATCTTGACCTGGAGCGCGCAGATCCGGCTGTTCGTCAGCAGCGTCTTCCAGATGCCGCTGCTCTTACTGCCGATCCAGGCCGCGTTGGGAGACTTGCGGCCCGCGTCGAGCGCGATGCGAGCCAGAGCTTCGTCGCTGAGTCGAAGGTGCGGGGGACGAGTCGGGTCCAAAGCGTCCGTCTGCTCCAGCAGCTCACGGATGCTCTGGTAACTGTCTTCGTCGACGCGTCACGGATCCAGGATGCGAGCCATCAGGCTGTCGTAGCGGGAACGGTCGTGGCGCCACAGCGTGACGAGGTCCGTCGCCGAGCTGGCCTTGCCCTTGGCCGACACGGAACGCTTGGCGGCCTTGCCTCCGAGCCACATGAGATTGTCGTGAACGGTGTTCTCGAAGCGGTCGACGAAGCCGTACCAGCCGAAGAGGCAGACGTTCGCACTCACCAGCACGAGGTGGCCTTGGTTCGCGTTGAGCTTGTCGCGGCGGCGAGCGCCCGAGTTGTCCGTTGGCGCGTACAGCGCGCAGTCGAAGAACGTGTCACGGTGGCACATGTAGTAGCGCCAGTGCATCAGGCGGAGCTCCAGAAACTCTTCCGGGTCGTACCAGGCGCGCTGCCCGGCCCAGGGGTACGCTGCTCGCGGCGGGGTCTTGCCCTGCTTGGCGGCGGCCTTGACCAGCTTCTCGACGTCTCGCTGAACGTCGCGGGGGCAGGTGTCTGGCAAGTCGAACAGGTACTGCTGGGTGCGCGAGCTCTTGCGCTGCTTCTTGGCGGCGGGGGCCTTCTGGTCATCAGTGCTTGAAGCGGCCAGACGCTTGGTCGCGGGTGCAGGATCAGCTTGAGCAGCGAAGAGGTCGTGCGCGGGCGCGGGCTCCGTGTCCATCGTAGTGGGCGCTGGCAACAGCACCACCGTGCGCGCGAGCTCCGCGGGCAACAGCGTGTCTTCGGCCAGCACGGCCACGGCCACATCGTCGAGGGCAGTGACGCCAAGCAAGTCGCCGTTGACGAAGATGGAGCTGCGCAGCCGGGGGTAGAAGTCGACTTGCGTGCGCAGTCGCGCGTCGGCCTCGGCGCTGGCGCCGCGCGTCTTGCGGTCCAAGCGCGAGCGCAGTCGT